AATGTAGTTTTAATGTAATTATGGTTGTTTTAATGAAAAATAAAAAAATATATGCTTTGGGGTTAACGTAGCCACACTTTAAAAAAGTTCAAAATCTTATAGTTTTGGCCGTTGTTCGGTGAGTCATATCTTGAAAACTATTAGGCCTGTATTAACCATTTTGGTCTTAAACGATAGGTAATTTAATGTACTTTAAAAATGATTACGGTTGTTCATTATGAAAAAGTGATGCTTCAGGGTCAAAATCACACAAACGTAAAAATAGTGCAAAATTCCGCTGATTTTTAAGCTTTTTGGAGGTGATCCGGAAGGTCGCCGAGGTCGAAAATTTGGATTTAGCATCTCGGTACTATTACAAACAACATAAAAAATGAAACCTACTACCTCGTTTCATGCAAGGTAGACCTTGCGTTTTATAACAAGGTTACTGGGTTATAAGTGCCGGTATTTTTTTTATATTTACTGATATAAACAACTTCGACTTAAAAAAACCCGTGTTAATATTTATTTTTGCCAATTGTAAAACTATATTATGTGTTTTAGTAAACTTACATATTAGCTCTTTAATTCTAACAACCATTATTCATGACTACCTATAAACAGCAAAAGTGCTGTGTGTTTGTAGTATGAGAAAGCCGGTTCACTGAAGTTTGGCTAAAACAATTTTGATGATATATTGGTATATATATTATTATAAACCTCTTAGAATGTTTTTTTAATTATTATTGATTTGATCAATTATTAAATTGAGTAATTATTTAGTTTGAGAGGACTAAAGTTTAAAAATATTAAAAAATCTGTTTATTTCGAAGTTTTTTTTAAGATTTGCTAATCTTTGGCTTGTCAAATGTCTACATGTTATACATAATCAAAAAGCTGGTTTAATTCTATATTAAATAGACACTTCGTTTGCCTTATTCGGTTGATATTTGGTCGTTCAAGAGACATAATACTCATAAGTCTCAGATTTTTTGAAAAATCAAAGATGGCGGCCAATATGGCGGACTTCCCCCGCGTGGATTTTGGTAGACTTTTGATATGTTGTTCAAGACACCATTCCGCATCTAAAAAACCTTACTTTGTTTCTTTTACAATTAGTTTGATGTTAAACATTTTTAGCGAATTTCCCTATAGGGAAGTAGCTATTACCGTAGGTCTCATGGTAAGACTTAGGCCCGGGACCGATTTACTTTTTCATTTTGATGTCCCCAGAGGCCAAAAACACCATTCGTTCAAATTTTTATATATATATATATATATATATATATATATATATATATATATATATGTGTCCGTGAACACGATAACTTGAGTAATTTTTATCCGATTTTGATGAAATTTGGTTTGAAGGTGTAAGGCGGGATAAACTTGAATGAGTTCGCGATCCAGCATGATCGGACCATGGGAACAGGGTTTTATGGGGGGTTTTATGGGGTAAAAATTGGTTTTTCTCACTTTTGACCCTCAAAACACAAAATTTCCCAATTTTTCTCTAAACCATCTTAAAGAGCTTAAAAAAACAAACAATTCAGTATATCAAAGTGTTTTTGTACGGTTATTGGTTACGGAGAAAACTAAAAAAAATGGTAAATTTAAAATTCCCATGTTATTCTTATGGAGAATATTGTAAAATGATGTAGTTTGCTTGTTTATGGATATCTTTTGATCAAACTTGGCAAATATATTCATTTTATACTAAGCAATAATTATTTTACTTAAAACACACACTTTATTAGTTTCCTTGTAGCAGCAAACCTAAGTACTCGTTTAACAAGGGAGTATGTTTTATCTATGGTTTGACCTAATTTTATTTAAATAGATCAATTGAAAATCAATTCAGCCAAATGGAAATTCGCTTAGACGGCAGGTTAGCTGCGGCGGGGGTATTTACCCTTAATTTGACTAGCCTATATGTATTTGTATGGTTTGTTATTTACTGGACACTTTATTAGCTTTGAAACGGAGACATTGACTTTTTTTAAATTTTTTTATATAAATATCTTACAGGTTATCAATATTAAGTTATGTTCAGAGTCAACCCCCTTGAATCATTTGATTAGTTACTAACCTCGAATTTTTAAAAATATAGTTTGTTTGTAGTAATCTACATATACTAGCTCACCCAGTCGTTTAATTGTTTCTTGCCTCTACATTTAACAATATAAACATGGGCCAAAAGTGCTAAAAGTGTCCGTCTGTATGTGATTTGTATAAAATATTGGCTAAGGAAATGCCAATTCCGCCAGTGGATGAACTCATGGTCAAAGCGGATGAGATGTTCTGTATGCAAGGTCACGAAGGCAGGATTACTAAAGTGGGCTTCTCAGGGAAGTCCTCTGATGTGCTCGCATCTACGGCCATTGACGTACATCCACAAAATGGAATATGGTGGGTTCACTTATTTAAATTATCTAATTTTAACATTGATCAACTATTATTTTTGGATCTGGAATCTGATCCTATTGTCAGGAGGAAAAGTACCTTAAATATATCCAGATTAGTACATGAATCCAGCCAAAGCTGGAAAATGACAAATGAAAAGCCATACAGATAAGTATACTAGTTAAATAAAGAAACTTATGACTTTATGACTTGATACTTATGACTATTCATGCTAAATATTGCTCTTACACTTGAACTTACACAACGTTATTATTAAATGTGTAGTAGACTTTCCATGTCTATTTAGAAGTGATTTAGAAAGGTATAAAAAAAGTATCAATTTTCACACCAACAAAGCAGCCTGCTTCAATCAACGTTATGGCAATCTTATACTTAAGCTAAATAATACCTATTGTATGTTTTTCCTATAAGAATATTTTAAAAGTATACTTAGTGAACACTCACGATAGACTCGATCAGTTAAGTCTAAAAGGTTGATAAGACTGGATTAAATAAAAGGACTTTAACAAGTTTCCACGCAAAGTTTTGTTTCAAAACAACTTGAGCATCCGAGATAGTGAAACTGTAAAGAGGAATTCTTACAAACTTGGTAATGCCATTGACTTCGGATACTGGTTAGTCATCCATCTATATGGACCAGGTGTAGCAAGTTTGCTTCTAAATGAGAACATAATTTATTGACACTTTCATATTGTTATTGTTGTGTGATATTGGAGTTATATTTTTCTGTCAGTTTCTAAAGCTGTGACAGATTACATTAAGCAAGATTTCATTGTTTATTAAAAGTTACTTTTAAATTTTGGTGTGGTAAAAACGTTAGGGTCAAAAGAGAATACGGTGTTTTAGAGCAAAAGACTGTGTTGTAACAAATTTAAAAAAATGAATATATTGTTAACGTGGGAATGGCATGTTTATTTCACGGTAGTGTATGTACGGTCAAAGCTTAAGCCCCTCTATGTTGAATTATTATTGCTGTCAATCAAAATTTTATTTTCCATTTATTTATAATTTTACAAACACTTTTGTTATTTTTGTACTAACTTTAGTTTGCGCTAGTAGAGCACCCGTCCTTCGTACAGGGTTGATGTGTTTATTTACAATGGTTTTTGAAGAACTTTTTTTAAGATGACAATCGTTTGAGCAAAATATGTTGTAGTTTATTTAGCACCAACACTTCATGTTCAAATGAGCATATATTATTAAGTTTTAGTCCGTATTTTATAAGATCATTTTGTGTTTAATTAAAACAAAAATCTGTTGGAAATCAAACATTATGGACGTTATATATTTTTAACGTCCCAAACAAATTAAACACCCCTGAACAATGCTCAGGCCCTGGTACTTTAGATATTTGACTTTAATACTTTAAACCTAAGTATTACTAAAACAAAATAACCGGGTGGATTAAAATCCCATTTTGCGATATCAATAATCCCAGAGAGGATTGGACTTTAATTAAAGCGAGATATCATCCAAAAATCCAATTGCATTTCTAAACTAATCTTTTAGTTTCATCCAAACATCACTTTTTTATATTGGTTTGAAACATTGCTAGCTGTTATAAAATTATGATCTTTTGTAAAAATATATTATTTCTGTTATAGAAATTAGAAACAATAACATTTTACTATAAGAACATTGTTTATTTTTGTAGTTTATTAAATTAAAGACTTGATTAATTTGGAATTAAAAAGTATCCTAAAAGGCCTTCTTGCAATAATTCATTTAAATGAAATATTAAATTTCCTTTGCTGCTTGGAACTTAACACATAATATTGAAGTATCTAAAAATCTATATGTTAATGCAGAAACAATGCTTTCACAAATAAAGGCATTATTATATCTTTCTTTCTTCCTTCACAGATTAAATTTTGTATTTGTTTGTGAACTTTACTATTGTGCATTTAACAACAGATTTTTACATATCAGTATGTTCCTCTAGACGTAAAATCACTAAATTGGGATTCAACTGTTTTTTTTTTTTTTTTTACTACATAATACATGCACAACAAGTTATTAGGTACATTGTAATAGGAACTCAATTTGAATTAGCAACTCGTTTCATTACAAAAAAATCTTCAAATATTCTTGATAAAAGTTTATGATTAATCACCCTTTTCAAAAAACTGTTCAAATAAAGCTGTAGAAGTAATTAAAATGTCAAAGGGACCGAGATGAATGTGAATTTAGAAAGAACTTTAATTAAAACACTGATAAATAGCCAACATTTCTTTAATTAACATTCGTTGAAGTAATTTAAGCTAATGAGCTAATTAAACTTGTTATCTTTATTTGTATTACATATTGGTTTCATTTGATAGCTATGAGTGATAAGAGGTTACAAAAAAACCTCATCCCTACTAACATAATTCTTGAAAAAGGTTGAGTCCTTGCAATAAAACTATGCACTAGTAAGTTTAAATCAACTGGGATGTCACAAGCTTAGCACTGCAATTGCTAAACCATTAATCAATTTAATTCTGTAAGTCAAATGCTGGTATAAATAAAACACTGTAATTAACAAAATATAAAATACATAGTATTGAACTAAATAGTACAATAACATAATCAATAACAAAATTTCAAAATGTATCACGATACAAAAAGTGTCCACTCATTCATTAATTAAATTAAATGCAATTGACAGTGAAAATAAGTGGTAATTTTATAGATTGATTTGTTTGTGCAAAAGTTGTATCCAATGTACTACTTGTAAAATAGAACACTACTTGACATTAGAAGGGTAATCATTTACCAAACAAAGTTAGGAACGTTATTGACAACTATCACAGCTTTAGATTATACTATCAATTAGAACTAGAAGAGAGGCAGTCTAGTGGTAGAGTGTAGGCTTCAGAGCCCGAGGTCCCAGGTTTAAATCCCTCCAATCACTAATGAATTTCATCTATTATGTCTGACCCTCTACTCTAATCTGAATTAAGTAATATGTAAAACAGTTTCAGGCTAGAGCTTAGCTGTGAAGTTGGTACATAAAAAAAATTAGGATCAATTAGGATGGCATTTAGGGAAAGATGAGGGGAAAGCTCCCAGCAAAATTGAGATTCAAACCTCTAAACACAAGAGGTAGGGATTTATTTTTGTCCTAGGACGCTATGCACGAGCCCGGAATTGTTTTTCACAATTACTTCAGGCTAGACCTAGGGGTTGTGGCATTATCACTAAGATAAAATCCATTGGTGATTTGGCGGATTTGAACCCAGGACCTAAAGACCGAAGTCCCGCGCTCCAACCACTAGACCAGCTCGCTTCCCGGTAGGGATATTTAATAAATTCAATTTTCTTCCAAAGAATCCTATGCAGTATTGAAGTTTTAAAAAATATATATTATTCCCATATTTTATCCCATGGTATAGTATATATGGAGCTACCTCTAAAAGGAGTCTTGAAGAAATGTTGACAATTCAGAAGCAATCTATCAGAGCTATGTTAAAAATTAACAATTATTCAGCAAAAGAAAAGAACACTTTAGAAGTTCAAGAACCCTCACTGTGTATGACTTATAATATGTTCTTGACTGTATAGTGTTTTACAAAAACAAATTTTAATCATTAAATTAATTTAAGCAATCATAACTATGATTCACACAACAAAACTAATTTTGTAATTGGAAATTATAACTAAGAGCTTTCAAACAGACTGTCAATTTAGGGCATATATTTTTTTAATGCATCCCTTTCAAAATTAAAACGGAAGAATCCCCCAGTAATTTTTTTAAAAAAGTGTCAAGGAATAGTTATAGACCTGTCCGTATATTCTTTAGAATAATTAAAATGGTTACCTTAGTTTAAGCATTAGTTTTACTTTATTGGTGCAATTCATGTATTACTATGTATACTTATGAATAAACTATGACCATGACTATGTCAATGACAATTAATTTTTGTTATGACTGTACCATATAAGGTGGGAGGGAAATTTTAGTGTGAATGCACAATTTGCTCTTCCCGCATTCTGCTTGACACTCTAATTGACGTGAATTGTAATGAGGTAATGAATTTATGTATTGTAAATATTTAGCCTATAAGAATATTTTGTTATTTATGTAAAGACTTGGTCTGAAAACTGTAACCCCTTACATACTTTGTCAATGATATGTTATGTATCTTACAGCAAATAAAGATTGATTGATTGATTAATTGAGGCAAAGTTGACCTTTAAAAATTGGTTTGTACACTACAGCTCTGATTCTTGTGTGACATGCTTCTCCGGCAATCTTCTTCTTTTCATCTCTGAAAATTGTAGATCAGTTGAGTATTAACTGAAAGTTATTATGATACTAGCTTAAAATATAGTTTCAGGTCACAGCTGTAATTCATACAATTATTTCAATCTTAATACATTTCAATTTTTATGTTGGTTTTTCACCTTGCGTTTGCTTGAAACTCCTCCGATTTGAATAACTAATAGCTTAAATGAAAGCCAGTATTTCATTGAAGGTTCTTAGACTAAAATATATAGGATTATACAAATATAACCGGTGAAGGTACAAGTGAAGCTACTTAAATTGATGTAAGAATTAGAAAAAAAATTATATGTTTTGGTCGAGTAATATAGAAGGTAAATATTTATCGATGCTTTATGTGAAAACTTGGCATGCATGCCTTCAATTTGAGACCTCAATCATGAAAATCGGTCAGGTAGAAGAGCCAAACAAACTCGGAAAAGAAAAACCAAATTTAACTCCCATAAGAGATACATGGGGAGGAAATTTCGTTTATGCATACACCGAGTAGGATTATAGATAAATATATGCCGATGCTTGATGGCAAATCTGTGCATGCATACCTTCAATTTGAGGCCTCAATCATGAAAGTCGGTCGGGTAGAAGAGCCAAACGAACTCGGCAAAGAAAAACCAAATTTAACTCCCATAAGAAATACATGGGGAGCAAATTTCGTTTACGCGTACACCGAGTTGGATTATAGATAAATATATGCCGATGCTTTATGGCAAATCTGTGCGTGCATACCTTCAATTTGAGGCCTCAATCATGTAAATCAGTCGGGTAGAAGATCCAAACGAACTCAGAAAAGAAAAACCATTTTTTTAAATATATAAGATTATTTAAGAGCTCACACACAATCAATTTGCCAAGTCAGAGAAAAGTTGTACAAATGTCAATGGAAAGTCTTTTACAACTAATTGCAATAATTGCATAGAAGTTATTCAATGAGTAACATGGGTTTTCTTACAAGTAAGTCTTAATTTTCTGTTAGAAAAATTTTTTTGTTAGGCTAAGTATATAAAAACCAGTAATTAGGAAGCAGTTTAATAGGACTGTTAAATGCATGGTATGTATAAGCTTATAGCATGCATTTATAATGTATGCAGCAGTATAGAATGTTTTCTAGATTACCTTCCTCTAACTCTGTCATCATGTAGTCCACTTTTCTGTTCCTTTTCCAGCATTTTTGAATTGAAAAGTAAATAACTGCAAAGGTCAGAAGGAATAATGACAGAAGTATGTACCAATAAGACTTGGTCATCTCGGCAAAGAGATCTGCAACATGAGGATGAAAATGTACTAAACATTGTAAATAATTGGTAACTACCACACGGCGGTTAAGGGCAGCCTATATTTTGGAATTTTCATGTCAAATTTTATTAATTATAAGTATTGCATCTTATATCTTTTTACAATAATAATGACGACGTCAATTGCAATAATGTATTGTTTAAAGACTGAATAAATGACTATTCAATGACTATTCACGAAGATAGTCTGATAGATGATTGTAACAACTGTATTTGTATATGATAAAAAAGTTTACAAACTTTCAAATAGTTATACAGTACTCAATACCATGTAGTAATACCATGTATTATTACTTATTATTATTATTATTATTATTATTATATTATTACTAGAATAATTTTTCAATCTTAGCCTCTTGACTAAAAAACTAAATTTAGCTCTATAATTGAGTTTCTCAACTACAGCCAACTCTTTTGTGTACTGTAGTTTGAACTATTTTATCCATGGGATAATTGCAGAAATTTTCCATCACAATCAGTGAAAAATATTTCAAAACCCTTTAAGATCTAGAATATGATCCCCTCCTTGGTGAAAATACTATATCCTAAATCCAAAATCATAACCAAGATATGTAAAACTCAGCCAGCCAAAGCTGGAAATCCACAAATAAAAAAAAAAAAAAACTTTACGGTGGTCACAACAAGAAAGTACAAACCCTGAAGGAATAACAAAATACCCCCGCCGCAGCAAACCTGCAGACTAAGCGAATTTCCATTTGACTGATTTGATTTTTACACTGAAATGTCTACTTAAAAATATAACATTTATTCCCGATTTAAATAGAATTAGTTGAACAAGTACTTAGGTTTGCTGCATCAGGGAGGGTAAAACTTTGTTTTTTTTGTAAAATGTTAATAGTTAGTAAGAAATAAAAACATTTTCCAAAATTGATCAAAATATGTTCATAAACAAGCAAACTACAACAGTTTACTTATTCTCCATAAGAATAACATGGGAATTTTAAATTTACAATTTTTTGGAATTTTCTCCGTAACCATTAGGCGCATAATAACGCTTCAATATACTAAATTATTTGTTTTTTTAAGCTCTACAAAATGGTTTGGAAAGAAATTGCTAAATTTTATGTTTTTTGGGTCAAAAATGGGAAAAACCTATTTTTACCCCATAAAACCCCCCGTAAACCCCCGTTCCCATGGTCCGATCATGCTGAATCGCGAACTCGTTCGAATAAACGTAGGTTTACACATTTGTACCAAATTTCATCAAAATCGGATCATTTTTGCTCGAGTTATCGTGCTAACGGACACATATATATATAAATATATATATATATAAATATATATATATATAAATATATATATATATAAATATATATATATATATATGAATTTGAACGGATGGTGTTTTTGGCCTCTAGGGACCTCAAAACGAAAAACAAAATCGGTCCCGCGTCCAGGTCTTACCATGAGTACTACGGTAATAGCTTATTCCCTATATGGGAAATTCGCTAAAATAGTTCAAATAGGGGGTTGTTAAAAACAATAGACACATCTGAGGTGGTGGCAAAAGAGAGGACAGACGTACATAATTTATTTTTTTATTCATCAAGCAACCTTTATGATTGACTTTGTATTAAATTGCAAGTAATGAACAGCAATGAGAGCACTTTTGTAAATCTTTTTATTAATGTTTCTACATGCAATAGCCTCTCCACAAACAACATAAACTAGACATAGGGACCTAAACCAACACAACACCGGACATGAAACAATCTTCACCCTTCCAATCTACAAGCTATAACTTGGCCTACTGAAAGAAAACCATCCTATAAAGGAGCTAAATACTTTAACCTCCTTTCAGGACAACTTAAATAACTGAATAATTCAGCCTCTTTCCAAAAAAAAAAACTCACAGACTGGCTGCTGGAAAGATCTTTCTAGACTAAAGATAATATTCATCCAAACATGACTTATAGTTCTTTTAAATATGATTAGTTGTTGTAATCAACAAAGAACCTGTGAATCCTATGACACTATACTGTTATTCAATGAACATGTAAATAAAGTATATTGTCTTTAGTCTATGCTGTTGTAAAACGTGAATTTATAATAGAAATTAGAGGGCAGTTAAGTTTACTTACAGAACACTCCTAAATTATAAGACATCTTTGTCAAAAGTAAAATGAACAATGCAACATTATACTTTTCACACAAAAAACAAGGTCGACAAGTTTAATTTTTAATGAATGAAAACTATCTCCATAATAATCAGCTGACAAATTTTAAAGCTGGCAAAATGTAAATTTGATGTCCTCCATCACAGCAGGATCTGTTTTGACCTGAGGATAAAAAGATCTAACTTAGATACTACCATTGACTATTACAATATGTTGTATTAATAGTCAAAGATACTACCTAAAATGTGTTATTATGACTAAAATACAGTTTTAAACATGAAAATAGTCTTAATTTGGTTGGACCGAAACTTACCTAAATCCACAAAATTTACTGGAGCCTTGAAACACTTTCCAAAACTAATCTGAAGTTCAAAACTCCCACCACAGGAATCTCTGTTCAACATAAACACTTGTTAAAAGAAAAGATGGTAAATGTACCAGTCAAACTATTGGTAATCATTACAACAACAAAAGAGTTAAACATAATCTAAACCTTCTTATTCTTTAATCTTAATGACAATCTATTGCACCTAATACTAATGTTTTACTTTATTTGAAATGTTTTATAGGCAAATGTATAAAGGGGCAGAAGTGATTCTATGTAAAAGTTAGACACACATTTTTGAGTATAGAAATAAAACTTATATGAACCACTTGGTTTTCTTTTTAAAGTCTCTTTGGTTCAATTAGATCTACTAAGCGGACCTAAATAGATATTATAATAATATATTTTACCTAACCCGCCATGTTAAACTTCCCTATCCCAAGCATGATGTATACAACTTCCTCACTTCACGAGTGATGTAAAGTTGAAAAAAACTCACTCGGTGGGGTAATGAAACCCATTTAAATAACATTGAGTGGATAACTTAAAAAATATACCTCTATGGAGCCAACAACGTTCAACACTAGAAATCAGCTGTGTGCTTGAATTTTATTGTTATGCCTTGAAGAATTTTCCTCACCTAGCTTTTGTTTGTAAATAAACGTTACTGTTAGAAGATGAGTGAAATGGATAATGAAGCATATTGCTCGTAACCTCCTGTATATTGTCGGGTCAGGTAAAATCTTGTACGTTACACGTTACCCAAGAGCGTGTTTACATCACTTCGGTGAATTATGCAACTCGCTTTCACTCGTTGCACAACATTCACCTGCGTGATGTAAAAACGCTCTTACTACACTTGTAATGTAAATAGCTATTTTTTATACTTATAACTCTGTACTAACAGTCTTATAAGGCGCAAGTAAAATGTAAAGTAAAAGAAACTCACCCAAATGTTGCAATTGAACGAACACACCAATCAGATTTAAGTTTATCTATCTTTAGGAACTCTTCAAAGGACTCCTCAGTCATTTTTTCTTTTACAATCAGAGGTACATTGTTTATTTTGAGAGTGAACTTCGCCAACTTAACATAATCTTTGGTACTGGTTTGATGAAACTCTGTATTTGTAATTTGCGTTGAATATGTACTAAACTCACTAGATTGATAATCATTTGTACTCAAATATTCAAAGTCATATGTGCTATAATAATCGTGTGTGCTATCAAAATCAAAGGCAGTCACATTGTCAACCATCATTTGTTCATTATCTGTTGTAGATTCGATGGTTGATTCTTCATAATCCGTACTATTGAATTGTAAGAAGTTCAATGGACCGAAATCTTCAGATCTTTTAGTAAATTTTCCTGTTGTCGATTCTTCATAATCCATACTGTTGAATTGTAAGTAGTTCGATGGACCAAAATCTTCAGTTGTTTTAGTAAATTCTCCTGTTGTCGATTTGATTTTCAATTCTTCATAATCCATACTATTAAACTGTAAGTAGTTAAGTGTACTGAAATCTTCAGATGTTTCAGAAAACTCTTCAGTAGATACCACATCTGTAGTAGAAGCCGTTTTAGTTTCACTCCAGAATGTTGAGTCAGTGTTTTCTGATACTTGTGCGGTTGAATGAAACAAAATATCAAAGTCTGGGGAGATTATATCATGCTTGAAATCTTCTGTTACACATTCTACTTCTACAATATCATTGGAATCTTCAGATGTGTAGTTAAAAAAGCAAGTTAGATTGAAAATAGCTTGACTTGACTTTTGCACATACTTAGCTATCAAAATTTTGAATAAAGGACATTCCAAATCATGAACAATAAGCTGACTCGAGCAACCGGTTGATATAGAAATATCCCCTGTGGCAAAACACTGGTGGTAAGAGCTTTTTACATCAGTACAGTTGGACGAATTGCTTGACCCTTCAAAACCCAAAAGACAGCTACAAGTTTCTGGAGCAGAGCAGACTCCATTAATACAATCTTCAGAACAGTATGGCTCACAAGTGAACGAATCTTCATAATTCTCTATGAAGCCTGGATCACACTCGCAAGTTTCAGGATCTACACATTTACCATTAACACAGTCTCTTGAACAATAAGGAGAACAGTAGCTTGAATTACCAGTAGAGTTGACAAACCCTTCTATACAAGTGCAGGTGTTGGGAGCTGAGCATTCACTGTTGACACAATCCTCTTGACAAACTGGGACACAAGATTCATTTCCTAGATTCTCATAGCCCTCCCAGCAATGGCAAACTTCTGGAAGAACGCAAGAGCCAAACTGGCATTCAGAGCAAACCGGTTCACAAACATAAGGACTGAAGAAAGCATACCCAGCAAGACATTCACACACTTCTGGTTCAATACAGTTACCATTAATGCATCCTAAAGAGCAAACTGGTTCGCAAATATGTTCGCTTTGTTTCCTATATCCATCCAGACATTGGCATACATTCGGCTTTGTACAGTTGGCATTCACACACGGTAAAGAACAATGAGGTTCACAAATATAAGGATCATCAGAGCGGATATATCCGTCAAAGCAATTGCAGATTTCAGGTGCCATGCATTCTCCAAATATACACTCTTTTGAACAAACTGGGTTGCAGGAGTATTCGTCATGGTGATCCGCTTCATAGCCAGCCCAGCAAGTGCAGACTTCTGGTGACGTGCATTCAGAATTGACACACAATTTTGAGCAAACTGGTATGCATTCATATGCATCACTTTTGGTGAAACCCTCATAACAAGTGCATTCTTCTGGTGCAGAACAAAATCCATTCTCACACTTCTTGGAGCAATACGGATTACATCGATTAGGACTTATTTCATCTTTAACGAATCCAGTGTGACAAGAGCATTCATTAGGTGCAGTACAGTCTGAATAGACACACTGATCACAAACTGGTTTGCATTTTGATGGATCCAAACCTTTCTCATAGCCTTGAAAACATGAACAGGTTTCAGGTGCTGTACAGTTAGCATTTGTACAGCCACCAGTGCAGACTGGTCTACAAACGTAGACATCTGAGCGATCCAGTTCATATCCGGCGTTACAACTACATATTTCAGGTGCACTACAGATTCCATTTTCACATTTCTTGGAACAGATAGGAACACAAATGTAGTCATTTTCTTTCTCGTAGCCTTTGTTACAAGTGCAGATTTCTGGCGCTGTACACACTCCATTTTGACATTCCTTCGAGCACACAGGTTTGCAAGAATATTGATCTACCTTCTCATGTCCTCTGTGGCAAGAGCAAACTTCAGGCTGGGAACAAACTCCGTTTTGACATGGCTGGCTACAAACGGGGGTGCAGTTGTATCTATCCATAGGGTCAGTTTTGTATCCGAACACGCATGAACAGGTTTCTGGTGCGGTGCATTCTCCATTTTGACATTCTTTTCTGCAAATCGGTTTACAAACTTCTTGATCTTCCTTGTAGCCATCGTTACAAGTGCATTGTTCGGGTCCGGTACATTTCCCATTGTTACACCCCTTCGAACAAAACGGGATGCAAGTATACTTGTCCGAAGCATCTTTTACAAATCCTGGATTGCACAAGCAGGTTTCTGGATGTGAGCAGATGCTGTTGTGACAAGGTTTGCTGCACACTGGAGTACAGACGTATTGAGACTTGTATGAGTAACCAAAGTTGCAGCTACATGTACTTGGCGCTGAGCAAAACCCGTTGATACAGCTTTGATAGCATATTGGCTTGCAGAGACCAGCATAATTTTTGCGAAACCCATCACAACAGTAGTATTCTACTTCTTCATCTTCAACAGTCTGGAAAAAATAATATGATTATCAAACAACAATTAATTTTATAGATTTATTTATTAATTATATTTTGTACCTCATATTTTATAGGGGTGAAAACGTACTGTGAATAAACAAACACCAGAACTTACCTGTTTAATACCTCGAGACTTGTCGTCCGAGTTCTGAACCCCTGCGTTGGTGGGTGATAGAATCAAGTCTTTGGAGTGTTTAGATTTGAACAATTAATTACGAAGAATAGTAATCTAAATGTATTTAAAATATATTACGCTAAATTCTTTGTTTAAATATATTAATCAGGCCCTGAAGGATTAAAGATTTATTTATTTTATTAAAGTATATTATGTTTATTAAATTGCCATACAATTTTGTTGTCCTTTAGCAAATTTTTTTGCCAAATAGTTCTAAGTTTATTACGAGTAGTTTTAGAAAATTTAGCCATTTAGTTAATGACTTGTCAAAGAATCGTTAGGAATTAACACGATGAACCTCTGACTTTTAGTGTAATGTAAATTATACCTTAACATGTGGGACATGATCCAGCTCCCAATAGTTATATGAACAGTGGGAAAGATACAAAAATCCACATCTCCTTGTACCAGTTTTTAGAACATCTTCATATCGCCACACTCTTGCTGTCTTGTATATTCTGAAAATGAGTGCAGTAGGTTTTTTGTTAATCATCGGCACTGCACTATACAATATGTTAATAGAAGTCTAGACCTTTTAATGCTAAATCGCTGAAGCCAGTTTTTAATAGCAAATTTAATTGAATACACTGACAGAGTGTAGTGTAAAATTATATACTGATTTCCATCGTAAATGAAAAGACAACTTCTTGAAAACCTTCATGTCAACTTTCATAGTAGGGTATTGAAAACTAAAGGATACTAATACAACTTGGAAATACCAGTGGCGGCGATAGCGGGCCCGCAGTGCAGGGGGGCCCGTGAGCCTTGACCGGGATTTTCGGTAAATTTTACCGGCACACGGGCCCACGATAGTGTGACAGGCTCAGCCACACGGGTCCCCTATCATAACATTATTTATGAGAATTAAAATACATTTTTATGATGAAAATTTGTTCAAACCTATAGTTCAAGTAGTTTACAACAGCTAAACCAACACTATTACTTGACCGAACGATATAAATTATCTACCAACCTAAGTAAAAGAATTGTCATCAGTCATGCGGGTTGCATGAACTGTCCTCGTGGATTGTGTGAAGGCGCAGTCAAAATTGGTTGCATAATAATAGGGCCTTATTTATAACCAATGTGGCCTCTGGCCTAGGAAGATAAAACATTAATGTTAATCTTCCTTGCCCCCAGCGGGTGACACCATAGAGCATCCTCTATGCTGATTCGACTAAATAAACTTGACAATTTTATTACAACCAAATCGGCAAATTAACCTAGGTGGCTAGGGCTATTGCACTAGCTTATAAATGATTCCATTCTTTCATTGATGCTAAAGAAGGATTTTCATTTCATTTCATGTCTTACTATTAGGAGGCTGCCCTTTAGATTTGTTTACTTCACACTTAAGATGTGTTTACATCGAGTCAGGTAAAAAATGCTACTTACCTAAGGGCCTCAGGCCAAATCAGATCGGTTCAAAATCGGGTTGCTTTGGAAACGGTTGATTTTTATAATAGGCCTATAATGTCGATTTTTGAGCCGAGCAGAGCCTGGACTACAAGCTTGACTTTGTGTTGATCAAGCATGATCCGATTTTCTCAGTATTCAATACAATAATGCACAATTAAAAGTAAAAGCTTTTATATCCGTGAGGATCACGCTCACGAAATTGAAAGATTAGGCCTAAGCTTTTGCCGCGATCGCGGATATCGACGAGAACATTACCCCGCGGGTGACGATGACGATGTCTCCGCGGCCTCAGATGTTCAATATTTTGCCGCGATTGCGGAAGACAATAATGACGTTTCTTTTTTAGCGAGAGATATATCTAGGATTTAGCCGCGATTACGGAAAAATTATTTACCCGTCACCACCAACGGGTCGCGGGGAGATATTAGGCCGTGATATTAGATTGGGCCGTGAACGCGGGAGACGATGATGCTGCTATCTAATAAAGTAATAGGTTTGGTTGCATTTGCAATCACGGTAAACTATGGTAATGTTTCTTCCATGACTTATGACTACGGGAAGTATTTACGATTTTGCCGCGATCATGGAAGACAATAATGACGCCTCGGGAGATGCCTCGTCAAGTTTATTGCAAAATTGCAAGTTTAGGCAGTAATACATGGGAAAATGTTTTTAAAGATCATTGGGAGAGGGGGGCCCGGCGAACAAACTTGCGGGGGGGGGCCCGAGGTTTCTTATCGCCGCCACTGGGAAATACACTCTCATTGATTGGTTCATTGGACTATGTTCTAATTGAGTGGAAACTGCCCACAAGTAAATTAGGGTCTACATCAAGCTTTCGCAGTAGTCAAGCAACCTATTCCGAATCTGATACCAACATTGTACTCTTCATCCACTACTATTTAGCCCGTTCCCAACCCTATAAAGCATACAGCATTGTCACATAATTAAAAAAGTTTTTTAATAAAGATTCATGTTCCTGCCAAGTAAAAATGGCATTCTGTGATTAGAATGCTATGGCTTCAATCGTCAACCATGATTGAAATTCATCACCAGTTGACAGATGTGAGTAAAATGTTTTTGTATAGAAAACGTGCATATGGGCATTGAGTATAAACCTAACAAAGGGAGTTAGGAGGTAGTCTTCAACCTTTACACAATGTTTTCTTAGGTGCAGTGAGACTGCTGTTGTTTGTCAATCTCATTTTAAACAGCAACCAAAGTTGAGTGTAATTATTGATGTAAATGAACAAGAGAGATAGCCAGACCAGGGGACATGTCTAAACGGATATCAAGAACTACTATCTTGGAAGTCTGAAACATGTGGATCCGCAAGCAAAGAATCTTGAAATTCAATCAATGTCATGATGGAAACGTGCGCGCTGCCAACTGGCCCCATAATGCAAACCTATATGACCTTTGGCAAACTACTACATTCTACATACGCCATTTGTGCACGTGTTCTACATCTAAACACTTCTCTTCATACTCATCTGTCAACTGGAAAAAGTAATCAAAAGGAGTTGACCTCATTCCTACAGAAAATTAACTAAGCAGCGGGAGATTTGATAACATTTTAAAAACACACAGCAAAGCATACAAGTTAGTTACAGAGCTGCAAATTGTGTCAATCCGTACACAAATAATGCCAGTACGTGGCGTGGAGCCTCGTTGAGGCGTACAAGCGGACTGCGGATTTATACGACAAAACGGCCCTCATAGCAATCAAATTGTTACAGATTCGCATAACCAGGGAGTTTTAGATTAAATTCATAAGACCTTAATACATCAGTATGAGGTGTTGGTATTTTAGAAAGTTTCAGGTAAAAAGAGTATAATTTAATTCCATTTATTTACATGCTTATTATAAGGCTATTTGAGTTTGTGTAATTTTTTATATTTATAAATTTACTTAGTTTAAAATCATTTCTAAATTGACTAAACTATAATTAAAATCTGATATTCCTCAATGTATATAAAAACAACAGTTAGACACTGAAAACATGCTTGGATTGCAGGTTTGTTGCTACAAGGGTTTCACTTACGTTTTCCATCGTGTACAGACAGCATTGCAGTCTATGTGGCTAATATGTAGAGAAAACGCCAGAAAAATCCATATCCACCTGGGAAAAATTTAAAAAACTCAATATTTAGTAACTTAATTATTTTTTATTAATTATTTTAGGTCTAAAACACTGAGCCCACTTGGCTGTTTGTTAAATTTCAATACAATTGCCAATCTAATCCATCAGTTACTGTACATTGGTCTTTGTGGTTGAATAATGAATGTTAAAGATTATAGTTAAATAATAGTTATAAGATAACTATTACAGTATTTTCTAAGAACACCACTTCGGAAACTTGGATGACTAGAAGAACATAAATGACTAGTGCACCTGTTGCTCGAATTCGAGCAATTGCAAAGTATTAGGGGTGATATTTCAAAACGAATAATACAAGGAACAACAGAAAAGATTGGCAGAGTCTTGAAGAAGTACAATATTAAAACTATTTATTTATAAGCCCCCAACAAATTAAGCAGCTGCTCCGTCCAGTGAAAGATAAATTACAATTGCATACTTCAGGTGTATATCACGTGCAATGTAGCTGTGGACAACACTACGTCGGAGAAACTGGAAGATTAGTCAGAACTAGGATAAGAGAACACATAAGGTCCACCAAAAATTTGAAAGTCGAAAATTCAGCAATATAGCAGAACATTCATTTACTACAAAACATGCAATTGATTTTGAAAATGTCAAATTCTTAGCCTCCAGTTCTATTTATAACGAAAGGAAGATCTTGGAAGCCATAGAAATTAGAAAACACACTGACAATTTCAACAAAGACCAAGGATTTCATCTTAGTAACACTTGGATGCCAATTTTAATCAACATAAAAGTCAAGTGTGTTCAGGAAAGTTCTGGAAGTATCGAGAGACGAGGGTTACAGTGGTCAGCGAACGCCGGGGAAAACACGTGGACAGTAAACACGTCAGCCCCTCTATCCTGGGAGGTCTAACCCCCACCCCTCCAGATATAACCTGCGATCTCGCCCAGCTGTAAGCTCAACTTGATTTTTCATCTGTGCGGAGTCAAGTCACCCTGAAGATGGCATTCTGTAACGAGGCCGAAACGTCGGTGAGTGTTAGTGATTCATCATTTTTGACACGGTCGTCGCCAGAAGACCACAATTCTACATACAAAACTTGTTTGTAACCTTATGTCTTCTCTATGTTTTCGCGTTTTGTTCAAGTCTTGCATGTTTTATTTATTGAACTCTGTTAACGATCATCAAATGAAGTGATTACCTGACACCAGTGACACCTTTATGCCTGATGATGGTTTATAAGAACCGAAACTAGCTGCCAAAACACCAACAAAGGATTACTATATGCAGGTGATCGTGAACCATTTTATAAGTATAATACAATAGTCCCAAGAATTAACAACTCTTAGAAAATACTCTTTACCTTTGAGAAAATAATAAATATGAGATAGCATAAGTCTAAATCTATACAATTGTGTTGAAAAAGTTTTAATTTTATTTTTGCAATACCACAAACTATATTACAAAGTGTTTCCCCCCTATGGCATTGGCATCTCTTTTGGTCCTTCTGAATATGGTCCCCTACACATTATTGTGCAATCTGATTCTTATTTAAAGACAATTAATTTCTAATTTTAATTTTTTATTTTGTGGTTCTACGATGATTTGAGGGAAGACACATTGAAATGCGATACGAGTAATTGAAATAAATACTTGTGATAATTAGTTTGATAAATTTACTTAAGGAAAAACTTACTTGTCCATTTGGAGTGATCTCTAAGCAGGATGGACGATTCTACCGGACATCATATCATCTGTCCATTTATCAGATGACTAATAATCAGCTGTTTTGTTATCTCCAGAATTGTTACACTGTAGCGCTTTAGAATTTAGCAACAAATTTACAAATAATATTTGTTTATAATATACAGGGTTATTACAAATGATGTTCATGATTTCATACATACATAAAATATAGTTAAATTTGTTATACAAAGAAATAAAATGGTTACAACTTTTGAAAAACTCAAAAAGTTTCGACACAGATACACAGAACTGTAAATGCTCGATACGGGAACCCCTTCTGATGACAGATGACAATAAAATAGTCAAGCTCTTGCTAGATTTTGAAAAGTGTGTCTAGGTCTATTGTTTCGATAGCATTGGTAATCCGTTGCTGGATCTCAAGTATGCTATCTGATAATAGTGGTGTGTACGCCTTATCTTTGATGTGTCCCCACAAGAAAAAAATCAGGGGGTGTCCGGAGATCTTGTAGGAAAGTTCAGGGGTGTGTCATTATTCGGACCACCGAGCTCGTTCCATATCTCAGGCAGCACATTGTTAAGTTCAGCCCTACCACAAGTAACATTCAAATGCAGCCATTTCTCTTAAATATCAACTGTCACTTGCCAATATAGTGGTTACTAGGAGGATAATCGTTAAACCTGGTTCTAAGTTCTAAAGTGTCGTTGCACACTAATAACAGATTGGTTAATGTAATATTCCAACTGGCAAAAAGCTTTCCTGCCTTCAAATTCAGCCATTACACAACACTTACAACAATTGACTTGACAAACAGCTGATATGCACCTAAACCAATGTAAATGAAAATTTATGAGTTTTTCTTTCCAATGGTACCAACTAAAATAGTCTTGAAACAAATTAACCCATTAATATTTATAATCAAAATCAGGAACATCATTTGTAATAACCCTGTATTGTGATAATTTTATCAAACTGCATGCAATAATAATATGGTTGGAGAATAAATATGCTTAGAGTAAAAGTTTATGTAAATGGGAAAACAGTAGCTACCATTCTTATAAAGACAAATTTAATTGCATCACTTGCTTTTAAAATCTCTTCAACATAGTTATCAACAAACACGTTTTGTCTGTGGCTTAGTTCAATTCACATAAGTGGTGATGAAATTAATAACCAGCTAGAGACCAAGCAATGTTTACCAGAGTTCCTTGAAACCACATGTTGGAGAAAAAAGGGTGACTTCATTTTGATTTAAATAAAATCTGTGTGTTTTGAAATGATAACCAGGATACCCAGCCCACAGAGAAAAGCCAAAACCGTACATGAGGTTTAATGACTGAGAAAATGTCTGTGGATTGCAAGTTAATATGGAACTGGGAACTATAGATTAATTGCCAACAGCCCATGGCTAAGCAACATTGTTTTGTTGGTTTTCTTTTTAGGTCATTGTGTAGAAAGTACGTTTTGGTAGGGGAGGATCACGGGTGTTTCAATCACAATAGATAATCACTGATATTTCTAAGATCACTATATGTGGCCATCATGGTGGGAACCTATCATGATGTTGCCGTGATGGCGAGAGATCAACTGTTTTCGTGCTTTCAGACAAACTGCAGCATTTGCTACCATTTCCAGCTGATCCAAACAATCTGGTTTTTGTTTTTTTTACAACATAATACATGCACAATAAAGTTATTACATTGTAATAGAAACTCAATTTGAATTAGCAACTCGTTTCATTACAAAAAAATCTTCAAATATTCTTGATAAAAGTTTATGATTAATCACCCTTTTCAAAAAACTTTTCAAATAAAGCTGTAGAAGTAATTAAAATGTCAAAGGGACAGAGATGAATGTGAATTTAGAAAGAACTTCAATTAAAACACTGTTAAATAGCCAACATTTCTTTAATTAACATTCGTTGAAGTAATTTAAGCTAATGAGCTAATTAAACTTGCTATCTTTATTTGTATTACATTTTAGTTTTATGTGATAACTAGGAGTGAAGGGGTTACAAAAAAACCTCATCCCTACTAACATAGCTCTTGAAAAAGGTTTAGTCCTTGTAATAAAACTACCCACTAGTAAGTCTAATTCAACTGCGATGTCACAGCTTAGCACTGCAATTGTTAAACCATTAATCAATTAAATTCTGTAAGACAAATGCTGGTATAAATAAAACACTGTAATCAGCAAAATATAAAATACATAGTATTGAACTAAATAAGACAATAACATAATTTCAAAATGTATCACAATTCCAAAAGTGACCACTCACTCATAAAATTGTTGAATTTAGGTGGTAACAAAATTAAATGCAATTGACATTGAAAATAAGTGGTTATTTAATAGATTGATTTGTTTGTGCAAAAGTTGTATCCAATGTACTAGGCCTACTTGTAAAATAGAACACTACTTGACATTAGAAGGGTAATAATTTACAAAAAAAAATTGTAGAACGTTATTGACAACTATCACAGCTTTAGATTATACTATTAATTAAAACTAGAAGAGAGGCAGTCTAGTGGTAGAGAGTGGGCTTCAGAGCCCGAGGTTCCGGGTTCAAATCCCTCCAATCACTAATGAATTTCATCTATTATGCCTGACCCTCTACTCTAACCTGAAATAAGTAATATGTAAAACAGTTTCAGGCTAGAGCCTAGCATAGGCTGTGAAGTTGGTACATAAAAAAATTAGGATCAATTAGGATGGCATTTAGGGAAAGATGATGGAAAAGCTCCCAGCAAAATTGAGATTCAAACCTCTAAACACAAGTGGTATGGATTTATTTCTGTCCTAGGACACTATGCACGGGTCCGGAATTGTTTTTCACAATTACTTCAGGCTAGATCTAGGGGTTGTGGCATTATCACTTAGATAAAATCCATTGGTAATTTGGCGGATTTGAACCCAGGACCTAAAGACCGAAGTCCCGCGCTCCAACCACTAGACCAGCTCACTTCCCGGTAGGGATATTTCATAAATTCAATTTTCTTCCAATGAATCCTATACAGTATTGAAGTTTTAAAAATTATATATTATTCCCATATTTAATCGCATTGTATCGTATATACCCATGTAGCACAGATGGTTGGGCCAACGTTGGCCAACTGTGGGACAGTTGGTCGATGGTTGGTTGGAGCTTCCACAACCAACCAACCGTTGTCCAACTGTATATCTCGTAGTTGGGCCAACCAATATTTACAACTGTGGACCAACATTGGTTCATTGTTAATGAAATACATTAATAAGCATTTCTGGGTATCATACATCAAGCCAACCGTTGTCCAACCGTTTTTCACTCCGTTGGACCAACAAAAGATACTTTTGTTGGACCAACGATGGTCCATAGTTGAGTTTTACACGACTTTCATTCTCTGCATCTAGCTTTCACAACATAATTATAATAATGCAAATATTTTTTTAACTAATATTCTTTAACTTATTTGCAACAATTTAAGGGGAAAGAGTAATTAATCATATAACAGTCAATTATAATAGCATTAATAATCTAACGGTAATTAAATAATCTATATTCAAATACCGGTATCCTCTTTAACTCCCCCCAAAAAAATAATAACTATAGGTCGGCCGCTTAGAAAACGACCTCCTCCAGCATTGGTTTAGCATTAGCGCGCAGGTCGTTTTCTAAGCGGCCGAACTATACTTATGATGCCTTAACAGATTAACAGAATCTTATTATACTGTGTAGTATCAAAATTGTTTTAAGTATTGCGACCATTGCAACTGTCGGCTACTCTTACACCACTTGAAAACTCTCTATTAACAATCACAGATAGCTCAGTGGTAAAGTAAGAGGCTCATAAGTCGAAGGACCCGGGTTCGAGACCCGTCTGGGCCAAAAAATTTTGTTCTAGCTTTTTTTCAAAATTTGTTTTTAAGAACTATTTAATCAATTTACTCAACTAATAATTTTGCTTTTCAGACTAAATCTTTATTATTTTGTGTTAAATACAACGGTTGGTTGGATATCAGTTGTGTTATGGTTAGTTGGCCATCAGTATTTTTGGATGGTTGGGCCATTGTTGGACAATGGTTGGTTGGAAAACAGTTTAAAGAGGTGACATTTCTACCGTTGGCCAACTGTGTGGCTCCACAATTTACCAACGTTGGCCCAACCATCTGTGCTACATGGGTATGGAGCTACCTCAAAAAGGAATCTTGAAAAACTTAGACAATTCAGAAGCAATCTATCAGAGCTATGTTAAAAATTAACAAAAATTATTCAGCAAATAAAAAGAACACTTTAAACGTTCAAGAACCCTCACTATGTATGGCTTATATGTTCTTGACCATTTAGTGTTTGTCAAAAACCAAATTTTAACCGTCAAATTAATGTAAGCAATCATAACTACGACACACACAACAAAAATAACTTTGTAATTGGAAATCATAACTAAGAGGTTTGAAACAGACTGTCAATGCAAATATAGGAATAGTTATAGACCTGTCCGTATATTCTTTAGAATAATTAAAATGGTTACCTCAGTTTAAGCATTAGTTTTACTTTATTTAGTGCAATTCATGTATAACTATGTATACTTATGAATAAACTATGACTATGACTGTCAATGACAATTAATTTTTGTTATAACATCACCATATAATTAAAGCAAAGGGGGTGGGAGGGAAATTTGAGTGTGAATGGACATTTTGCTCTTCCCACATCCTGCTTGACACTCTAAGTGGTGAATTGTAATGAGGTAATGAATTTATGAGTTGTAGTTGTAAATATTTAGCCTATAAGAATATTTTGTTATTTATGTAAAGACTTGGATTGAAAACTGTAACCCCTGACTTTGTCAATGATATGTTATGTATCTTACAGCAAATAAAGATTGATTGATTGAGGCAAAGTTGACCTTTAAAAATTGGTTTGTACGCTACAGCTCTGATTCTTGTGTGGCATGCTTCTTCGGCAATCTTCTTCTTTTCATCTCTGAAAATTGTATATCAGTTGAGTTATTAACTGAAAGTTATTATGAAACTGGCTTATAGTTTCACATCACAGCTGTAATTCAAACAATTAATTATTTTAATCTTCTCCTTTTCTGGGGGTAGTTTTCAAAACTCTCTGATCTTAAATTACAGTATTTTTTTTATGAATAACAAAATTATATTGTAATATATGTTTGATAAGCTCAGCAGTTATTTTTAGACATGGTAGTTGTAATCGTATTGCAAAAACTTTATTTAAATTTGAATTTAAAGATAAACTGCGGAAAACCATTAACATGTAACTTTTTGGCTGTTCATAGGGAAACCATAACCAAGTTCTTATTATTCAAGAGCTGTTAAACACATACAATAATTCGCCAAGTCAGAGAAAAGTTGTACAAATGTCATTGGAAAGTCTTTTAAAATTGCAATAATTGCATAGAAGTTATTCAATGAGTAACAAGGGGAAGTCTTAATTGTCTGTTGTAAAAGTGTTTTGTTAGGCTGTTAAGTATATTAAAACCAGTAATTAAAAAAGCAGTTTACTAGGACTCTCTAATGCATGTAAGTATAAGCTTAACACATTCGCTGCTGAAAACCTTTAAACAGGCGCTCGCCAATTGTGGCGAGGCCCGGGCGGAGCCCCGACGCGCTAACTGAATCAGCGATCGCTATTGGTATTGAAATATCTCAGTAAGACGAATCACAAAAGAGCAGTGGTGATTGTTCTGCGTTACTCCGAAAGTGGACGTAGTTCACTGAAACACCCAAAGGTAGGGATCTTCAATAACCAGAGTCTTTGTAATACGGCTCGAACTGAGAAAATCCCCGAAACCGGGACAAAAGCATTGCCAGACGGGATTTTACGGGAAATCTTTGTACCAACCTACACCAGAATAAAGCTCGCATTATAAGCTACAGGCTGGTAAAGATTACAACGTTCCCCCGACAATGGCTGAACCACACTGATCCGGCAAACAATGCAATGCGCGCTCCCCCACCGGTGGACCCCCCGCTCCTCAGCTGAGACGCGCGGGGTCCACCGGTGGACCCGCCGCATCGAATGTGTTAAAGCATGCATTTATAATGTAGGCAGCAGTATAGAATGTTTTCTAGATTACCTTCCTCTAACTCTGTCTTCATGTAGTCCACTTTTCTGTTCCTTTTCCAGCATTTATGAATTGGAAAGTAAATAACTGCAAAGGTCAGAAGGAATAATGACAGAAGTATGTACCAATAAGACTTAGTCATCTCGAGAAAGAGATCTGCAACATGAGGATGAAAATGTACCAAACATTGTAAATAATTGGTAACTACCACACGAAGATAGTCCGATAGATGATTGCAACAACTGTAATTGTATAGGATAGAAAGTTTACAAATTTTCAAATAGTTATATGGTACTCAATACCATGTAGTAATATCATGTATTACTTCTTAACAGTTTTATTACTAGAATAATTTTTCAATCTTAGCCTTGACTAAAAAACTAAATGTAACTCTATAATTGAGTTTCTCAACTACAGCCAACTCATTTGTGTACTGTAGTTTGAACTATTTTATCCATGGGATAATTGCAGACATTTTCCATCACAATCAGTAAAAACGATTTCAAAACCCTTTAAGATCTAGAATATGATTCCCTCCTTGGTGAAAATACTATATCCTAAATCATAGCCGTAAAACCCAGCCAGCCAAAGCTGGAAATTCACAAATAAAGAAATATCAAACTTTACGGTGGTCACAACAAGAAAGTACAAACCCTGAAGGAATAACAAAAAATAGTTCATATAGGGGGTAGTTAAAAACAATAGACACGTCTGAGGTGGTGGCTAAAAAGAGAGGACAGACGTACTTAATTTATTTTTTTATTCATCAAGCATCCTTTATGATTGACTTTGTATTAAATTGCAAGTAATGAACAGCAATGAGAGCACTTTTGTAAATCTTTTGATTAATGTTTCTACATGCAATAGCCTCTCAACAAACAACAAAAACTAGACATAGGGACCTAAACCAACACAACACCGGACATGCATCAGTCTTCACCCTTCCAATCTACAAGCTATAACTTCGCCTAGAGAAAGAAAACCATTCTATAAAGGAGCTAAATACTTTAACCTCCTTTCAGGACAACTTAAATAACTTAATAATTCAGCCTCTTAAAAAAAAAAAAAAAAAAAAAAAAAAAAACTCACAGACTGGCTGCTGGAAAGATCCTTCTAGACTGAGGAGAATTCATCAAAACATGACTTATAGTTCTTTTAAATATGATTGGTTGTTGTAATCAACAAAGAACCTGTGAATCCTATGACACTATACTGTTATTCGATGAACATGTAAAAAAAGTATATTGTCTATAGTCTATGCTGTTGTAAAACGTGAATTTATAAAAGAAATTAGAGGGCAGTTAAGTTTACTTACAGAACACTCCTAAATTATAAGACATCTTTGTCAGAAGTAAAATAAACAATGCAACATTATTCTTTTCACACAAAAAACAAGGCGGTAGACAAGTTTAATTTTTAATTAATGAAAACTATCTCCATAATAATCAGCTGACAAATTTTAAAGCTGGCAAAATTTAAATTTGATGTCTTCCATCACAGCAGGATCTGTTTTGACCTGAGGATAAAAAGATCTAACTTAGATACTACCATTGACTATTGGATGTTGTATTAATAGTCAAAGATACTACCTAAAATCTGGTATTATGACTAAAATACAGTTTTATACATGAAAATAGTCTTAATTTAGTTGGACCGAAACTTACCTAAATCCACAAAATTTACTGGAGCCTTGAAACACTTTCCAAAATTAATCTGAAGCTCAAAACTCTCACCACAGGAATCTCTGTTCAACATAAACACTTGTTAAAAGAAAAGATGGTAAATGTACCAGTCAAACTATTGGTAATCATTACAACAACAAAAGAGTTAAAATACATAATCCAAACCTTCTTATTCATTAATCTTAATGACAATCTATTGCACCTAATACTAATGTTTTACTTTATTTGAAATGTTTTATAGGCAAACGTATAAAGGGGCAGAAGTGATTCTATGTAAAAGTTAGACACACATTTTTGAGTATAGAAATAAAACTTATATGAACCACTTGGTTTTCTTTTTAAAGTCTCTTTGGTTCAATTAGATCTACTAAGCGGACCTAAATAGATAATATAATAATATTTTTTTTATGCTAATAGCTCTGTACTAACAGTCTCATAAGGCACAAGTAAAATGTAAAGTAAAAGAAACTCACCCAAATGTTGCAATTGAACGAACACACCAATCAGATTTAAGTTTATCTATCTTTAGGAACTCTTCAAAGGACTCCTCAGTCATTTTTTCTTTTACAATCAGAGGCACATTGTTTATTTTGAGAGTAAACCTCGCCAACTTAACATAATCTTTGGTACTGGTTTGATGAAACTCTGTATTTGTAATTTGTGTTGAATATGTACTAAACTCACTAGATTGATAATCATTTGTGCTCAAATATTCAAAGTTATATGTGCTATAATAATCGTGTGGGCTATCATAATCAAAGGCAGTCACATTGTCAACCATCATTTGTTCATTTTCTGTTGTAGATTCGATGGTCGATTCTTCATAATCTGTACTATTGAATTGTAAGTAGTTCAATGGACCGAAATCTTCAGATCTTTTAGTAAATTCTCCTGTTGTCGATTCTTCATAATCCATACTGTTGAATTGTAAGTAGTTCGATGGACCGAAATCTTCAGTTGTTTTAGTAAATTCTCCTGTTGTCGATTTGAGTGTCAATTCTTCATAATCCATACTATTGAACTGTAAGTAGTTAAGTGTACTGAAATCTTCAGATGTTTCAAAAAACTCTTCAGTAGATACCACATCTGTAGTAAAAGCTGTTTCAGTTTCACTCCAGAATGTTGAGTCAGTGTTTTCTGAAACTTGTGTGGTTGAATGAAACAAAATATCAATGTCTTGGGATATTATATCATGCTTGAAATCTTCCGTTACACATTCTACTTCTACAATATCATTGGAGTCTTCAGATGTGTAGTTAAAAAAACAAGTTAGATTGAAAATAGCTTGACTTGACTTCTGCACATACTTAGCTATCAAAATTTTGAATAAAGGACATTCCAAATCATGAACAATAAGCTGACTCGAGCAACCGGTTGATATAGAAATATCCCCTGTGGCAAAACACTGGTGGTAAGAGCTTTTTACATCAGTACAGTTGGACGAGTTGCTTGACCCTTCAAAACCCAAGAGACAGCTACAAGTTTCTGGAGCAGAGCAGACTCCATTGAGACAATCTTCAGAACAGTATGGCTCACAAGAGAACGAATCTTCATAATTCTCTGTGAAGCCTGGATCACACTCGCAAGTTTCAGGATCTACACATTTACCATTAACACAGTCTCTTGAACAATAAGGAGAACAGTAGCTTGAATTACCAGTAGAGTTGACAAACCCTTCTATACAAGTGCAGGTGTTGGGAGCTGAGCATTCACTGTTGACACAATCCTCTTGACAAACTGGGACACAAGATTCATTTCCTAGATTCTCATAGCCCTCCCAACAATGACAAACTTCTGGAAGAACGCAAGAGCCAAACTGGCATTCAGAGCAAACCGGTTCACAAACATAAGGACTGAAGAAAGCATACCCAGCAAGACATTCACACACCTCTGGTTTAATACAGTTACCATTAATGCATCCTAAAGAGCAAACTGGTTCGCAAATATGTTCGCTTTGTTTCCTATATCCATCCAGACATTGGCATACATTCGGCTTTGTACAGTTGGCATTCACACACGGTAAAGAACAGTGAGGTTCGCAAATATATGGATCATCAGACCAGATATATCCGTCAAAGCAAATGCAGATTTCAGGTGCCATGCATTCTCCAAATATACACTCTTTTGAACAAACTGGGTTGCAGGAGTATTTGTCATGGTGATCCGCTTCATAGCCGGCCCAGCAAGTGCAGACTTCCGGTGACGTGCATTCAGAATTGACACACAATTTTGAGCAAACTGCTATGCATTCATATGCATCGCTTTTGGTGAAACCGTCATAACAAGTGCATTCTTCTGGTGCAGAACAAAATCCATTTTCACACTTCTTGGAGCAATACGGATTACATCGGTTTGGACTTATTTCATCTTTAACGAATCCAGTGTGACAAGAGCATTCATTAGGTGCAGTACAGTCTGAATTGATACACTCATCACAAACTGGTTTGCATTTTGATCGATCCAAACCTTTCTCATAGCCTTCAAAACATGAACAGGTTTCAGGTGCTGTACAGTTAGCATTTGTACACCCACCAGTGCAGACTGGTCTACAGACGTAGACATCTGAGCGATCCAGTTCATATCCGGCGTTACAACTACATATTTCAGGTGCGCTGCAGATTCCATTTTGACATTTCTTGGAACAGATAGGAACACAAATGTAGTCGCTTTCTTTCGTGTAGCCTTTGTTACAGGTGCAGATTTCTGGTGCTGTGCACACTCCATTTTGACATTCCTTCGAGCACACAGGTTTGCAGGAATATTGATCTACCTTCTCATATCCTCTGTGGCAAGAGCAAACTTCAGGCTGGGAACAAATTCCGTTTTGACACGGCTGGCTACAAACAGGAGTGCAGTTGTATCTATCCATAGGGTCAATTTTGTATCCGAACACGCATGAACAGGTTTCTGGTGCGGTGCATTCTCCATTTTGACATTCCTTTCTGCAAATCGGTTTACAAACTTCTTGATCTTTCTTGTAGCCATCGTTACAAGTGCATTGTTCGGGTCCGGTACACTTCCCATTGCTACATCCCTTCGAACAAAACGGGATGCAAGTATACTTGTCCGAAGCATCTTTTACAAATCCTGGATTGCACGAGCAGGTTTCTGGATGTAAGCAGATGCTGTTGTGACAAGGTTTGCTGCACACTGGAGTACAGACGTACTGAGACTTGTATGAGTAACCAGAGTTGCAGCTACATGTACTTGGCGCTGAGCAAAACCCATTGATACAGCTTTGATAGCATATTGGCTCGCAGTTACCATTATTACTGCGAAACCCATCACAACAGAATTGCTCTACGTGTTTATCTTCAACAGTCTGGAAAAAATAACGAGTATAAAAAAATTATTTTTTATTATTATTTATTGATTTATTAATTAGATTAATTTTAGTATTTTTGTGTATCAGTTTGGGCTTGAAAACAAAATCGAGAGGCGATTGTGATTCATTTGGTTAGGGTAACTGCAAAACCAAAGGGGGGAAATGTAGAAATGTCCACCCACAGCCCTACTTCAGGACCGAACCCTTTTGTGCTTTAGTTTGGACACCTACTGCCCAAATATCCTGCTTCCCCACACTTTTTAGTTACTTAAGTATTCGTAATAACAGTTTTTTTTTTGTTCTTTAACTTGCATGATTCTGCTAATATTATGAAAAAAGTTAATTAAAATTGAAAATACTGTTTTATATACAATTAAAAAGGTTTTTTTTATATATTGTATTTTAAAAGTTTGTATTTGTACAATAACTTGAGAGTGCAAGAAGAGAGAAAACCCCATTGGTTCAAAAATTAGGTAATATGTATTTCACCCCCCTCAAATGCTACATGCCTCTAATTCACTTGGACTATGTATGTTTCATTTACAAATACAATCAAACAGCGTTGGTACAGTAGTTATACTCCTTACTGAATTACTTTAACAAATAATAGTGTTTATTTTAAATAAGTTACTAATATAAATTTTAAAATATATAATAACTTATTATTAATTACTGGCATTCTAATGATTGTCATATTTGATGTCAGCCCTTAAGCAACAGAAATGTATCCATCGTCTTCACAGCAAAGTCAAAACATGGCAGCAAATAATTGACCACAGCCGAATTGAGTATTAACAAGGTTGAAAAAATCTAATAATGGATACTGAGGAAATTCCTAACTGCAAGTAAATACAAAACAGAAATACAAATTCACTTACATTAGCATTAGTTATACAAGATTACAAGATTAAAATTAAGTCTTGAGGCTACTTTATATAGTTTAAAAACTTAAAGAGATATCACAACCATATTTGGCATATTATTATTGGTAATAGCATTGACTATTGGATTAGTCAAAGGTAATATTAAGCTACTTTTTTGTGTACATGGTAATTGGATGTGACATATAGGGAGTAAGTTGAAAATCTTAAAGGTAAGCATAGGATATGTACATCAAATTAAAGGTCTTGATAAACTTAAAACGATGCCGCAAACCGGGTCTCAAATGGACAATCGAGTCAAAAATTATTGCTGTTCAAAGATTCATTGAATTTGCAATGCTATTTATTATATGCTACCTCCTCATGGTAGCACCCGTTAGTAGACAGAAGAAAATTATAAACGTAAGCATAGGTTGATACGCACATCATATTAAAGGTCTTTATTAGTTGAATGCAATGCCACAAATTTGAGCTCAAAAGAACAACTGAGTAAAAAACTGCAGCGGTTTAAAGATTCAAAATGGCAGATTTGAGAAATCTTTGAACGGCTGCCCTTTTTGATTTGGTTGTTCATTTGAGGTCCGGTTTGCGGTATTGTTTTAGTTCAACAAGACATTTAATTTAATTTACGTATCAACCTTTGCTTAACTTTTAGATTTTCAAATTACTTTACTCTCTATGGGCTGTCCCCCATTTGTGACATCCGATCATCATGTACAAAAAAAGTAGCTTACTATTAATTAGTAATGATATGCCAAATTTGGTTGTGATATCTCTTTTCGTTTTAATGTTATAAAGTAATCCTAAGACTTAATTAATTGTCACCCTGTATATGTATTCTTTCTTTGAATAATATCATTGACTATACACAGGGTATAGTCAATGATAATATACATAAATTGTATGATTGTGGTTTTTTTTTATTATGTACATAAGCAAGTAAAGAAATAAAATGATTAATTAGTTAATTTAAACTGTAAAGAGATAGATCCGAAAATTATTATCATTAATTAACACTGTTTCAGAATGCTGAATATTATACCTTCGTACGTTGGACTTGTACATTCTCCCAATATTCATCTCTACATTTTTTAAGCCTCAAAAATCCACATCTCCTTTTTCTAGTCTTTCGAACAGGTTCATATCGCCACTCTGTTACTGTCCTGTATGTTCTGAAAATGAGTGCAGTAGGTTTTTGTTAATCATTGGCACTGCACTATACAATATGTTAATAAAGTAGAGATATCCCCTTTGGAAACCCTCACGTCTTTCATGCATATCAACTATTACAGTAGGGTATTGAAAACTAAACGATCAAACAAAACTTGGAAACACACTCTCAGTTATTGGCTCATTGGACTATGTTCTAATTGAGTGGAAACTGGTTACAGGTAAATTAGGGCCACCCTCAAGCTTTCGCTATACTCAAGCAACCTATTCCAAATCTGAGACCAACGTTATTCTTCATCCACTACTATTTTAGCCCGTTCCCAACCCTAAACCTTAAAAACACATTGTCACATAAACGTACAGCATTGTCACATAATTAAAAAAGTTTTTGAATGAAAATTCATGTTCCTGCCAAGTAAAAATGGCATTCTGTGATTAGAATCCTATGGCCTCAGTCGTCAACCACTATTGAAGTTTATCACCAGTTGACAGACAAGAGTAAAATGTTTGTACATAGAAAACGTGCATATGGGGAACAGGGAGTTAGGAGGTGGTCTTCAACCTTTACACAATGTTTTCTTAGGTGTAGTGCAACTGCTGTTGTTTATTAATCTCATTTTAAACAGCAACCAAAGTTGAGTGTGATTCACGATGTAAATGAACAAGGGAGATTGCCAGACCAGGGGACATTCTCTAAACGGCTATCAAGAACTACTGTCCTGGAAGTCTGAAACACATGGATCTGCAAGCAAAGAATCTTTAAATTCAATCAATGTCACGATGGAAACGTGTGCTGCCATCTGGCCCCATAATGCAAACCTATATGGCCTCTGGCGAACTACTACATTCTACATACGCCATTTGTGCTCGTGTTGTACATCAAAACACTTTTCTTCATACTCATCTGTCAACTGGAAAAAGTAATCAAAAGGAATTGACCTCATTCCTACAGAAAATTAACTAAGCAGCAGGAGATTTGATAACATTTTAAAAACTGTTATCAAAATTCAAAAACTGTCAGCTGCAAAATTGTGTCATTCCATACACATATAATGCCAGTACGTGGCGAGGGGCCTCGTTGAGGCGTACAAGCGAACTGCAGATTTATACGACAAAACGGCCCCAATCAAAATGTTACAGATTCTCATAACCAGGTAGTTTTAGATGAAATTCATAAAAAAATCACAAAGCCTTAAGACATCAGTATGAGGTGTTGGTATTTTAGAAAGTTTCTTGTAAAAAACTGTATAAGTTGATGTTTGCTAACAAAAGTGTATAATTTCATTCCATTTTTTTACATAAGCATAAGGCTATTTGAGTTTGTGTATTTTTTTAAAATAAATTTACTTCGTTTAATATCATTTCTAAAGTGACTAAACTACAATTTAAATCTGATGTTCCTCAATGTGTATAAAAATCTTGTGACAGACACTGAAAACATATTTGGATTGCAGGTTTGTTGCTACAAGGGTTTCACTTACGTTTTCCATCGTGTACAGACAGCATTGCAGTCAACGTGGCTAGTATGTAGAGAAATCGCCAGAAAAATCCATATCCACCTAAAGAAAATTTTAAAAACTCAATACTTAGTAACTTATTTTTATTAATTATTTTAGGTCTACACCCTTGAACCCACTTGGCTGTTTATAGATTTCAAAGATGTTAAAGATATAGTTAAATAATAGTTATAATGTCAATAACTATTACAGTATTTTCTAAAAACAGCACTTTTGAACCTTGGATGACTAAAAGAACATAAATGATACATGTTTTGTCCAGTTCAAGACCTAAAGTTGCAAAAAATTTCAGAAAATTTGACTCAGTGGTGTTTTGGATTTACTAACAGATACAAATGGCTACAAAGACAGAGACCACATCATTTTATGAAATAGATCCTATACGGTATTTTCGTAACTTAACTTTCAATCAGTTTAATTTTTTATTAATGAATGGATAAAATGGTACTAGGATAAAATGTTCCTAGTAGCAAAGTTTTCCAAAGTGTACACTGTCAGAGACAATTTGTCTAAAGTTCCAAACACAAGCCGTAAAATCTCTTTCATCCCATTTTATCGCACATTTACACCTGTAACTGCATATAAGCAACGTGTTTGTCATAAATATGAAACCCTTTGCCTCTGTCGTTGTTTACCAAAACATTTTGTCATTATTTTATTTTCTCTGTTAATACCTAAAGGTATTTTATTGATGATGAAAATTTATCATAGGCCACTACTTTTCATAGATGAAATAAAAGAGGTCTGTTAACTAACACTGTTTATTTACAGCATATAATTTACTTCAAGTGGTTTACAATATCTGCATATAGTAACCCTTTGTATGGAAACTAGTTTTGGTTCTTCTGAACCATCATCAGGCCTCAAGGTGTCAGGTAATACCTTCATTTGAAGATCGTTAACAGAGTTCAATTAATAAAACACGTACAACAGTTTTTTGTAACCTTATGTCTTCTCTATGTTTTTGTGTTTTGTTATAAAGTCCTGTATGTTTTATTTATTGGACTCTGTTAACGATCATCAAATGAAGTGATTGCCTGACACCTTAAGGCCTGATGATGGTTTATAAGAATCGAAACTAGTAACTAAAACAGCAACAAAGGATTACTATTTGCAGGTGATTGTGAACCATTTTATAAGTAAAATCTTTGACTATTAATACAACAACTTCTGTATCCAATAGTCAATGGTATAATACAATAGTCCAAAGAATAACAACTCTTAGAAAATACATTTTACCTTTGAGAGAAAAATAATAAATATGGGATAGCATAAGTGTAAATCTATACTACAATTGTGTTGAAAAAATCTTTGATTTTATTTTTGCAACTCCACAAACTAAATATTAAATCAAGTCCCCCCCCCCCCCCTATGGTATTGGCATTTCTTTTGGTCCTTCTGAATATGATCCCCTTTCTAATGATTGTGCAACCTGATTCTTATTTAAAGACAATTATATTTTATTTTATTTTGTAGTTCTACAAATATTTGAGGGAAGACACATTGAAATACGATACGAGTAATTGAAATAAATACTTGTGATAATTAGTTTGATAAATAAATATATAAGGAAAAACTTACTTGTCCATTTGGAGTGATCTCTAAGCAGGATGGAAGATTCTACCGGACATCATATCATCTGTCCATTTATCAGATGACTAATAATCAGCTGTTTTGTTATCTCCAGAATTGTTACACTGTAGCCTAGCGCTTTAGAATTTAGCAACAAATTTACAAATATGATAATTTTTATCAAACTACATGCAATAATAATATGATTGGAGAATATATATACTTAGGGTAAAAGTTTATGTAAATGGGCAAACAGTAGCTACCATTCCTATAGAGACAAATTTAATTTCATGACTTATTTTTAAAATCTCTTCAATAGTTACCAACAAACACGTTTTGTCTGTGGCTTAGTTCAATTCACTTAAGTGGTGATGAAATTATAATAACCAGCTAGAGACCAAGCAATATTTACCAGAGTTCCTTGAAACCACATTTTGGAGAGAAAAAAGGATGACTTCATTTAGATTTAAATAAAATCTGTGTGTTTTGAAATGATAACCAGGATATCCAGCCCACAGAGAAAAGGAAAAATTGTACATGAGTTTTGATGACTGAGAAAGAGATAAGACTGGTAAAAGAAAAAGGTAAAAATGGTTTTCTTAGAAAGGGTTGTGTAATTGCTTTTTCCCTTATGGCTTCCGTCTAATTAATCCTTACCTCAAACTATTCCGTTTTGTGCAGTCTTTGACGTAATTAACCAACTAACGGTGAGATCTATACAGTAGTATATAGATTAGAGTAGATATATACAGTATTTAAATCTCTACACATTTAGCCATTGATAGCACTTAATTTTAATGAGGATTTACAACTGGTAGAAATAAATAAAACAATATTCAATAAATGGTATATTTTGTACTCTTAATGTGTGATGTACCTTGGAGAATAGATCAAAATCGTGAATATTTAAAGAAAATCTCAAACCTCTTTCTCTCCCATTATTGTCAGCCCACTAATCAGATTTTAGTGGAATTTAATAAGCGTGTGGAACAGGTATGAATCCTGTGTTTTAACATGTTAAGCATATTGAAAAAATTTCTTTAATAAAATGGATGTAACAAAGAAGTAAAGCTAAGTTCTCATTGGAAGCAAATACTTTTAAAGCTTATACAAAACACTTAACTTTCAAAGCTCAAAATAGATATTTTAAACAAAAATGTAAACAATTTGTCTCTAAAATTAGAAAAAAATATTTCTTTTACCGGGAAAGAAAGAGATTATACAAAAATATTTTCTCTTTTTTATATTGATCCTCATTTAAAAAATAATTTCATATCTCAACACTTTGTACACAAGTTAATTGTACTAGCTAAGTATTATCTTCGACTAGTTGCATCTTTGTTGTACACTAACTAAAATAAAAGCAAGAAAACAGTTGACTTACTATTTATTAGAATAATTGGGGAAAAATGTTACTAAATGGTCTCTTTAAAAGGCATATGTTTGAATATCAAACTACAAATCGCATTGATCTACACATATTTTTACAAAACTAACACAAATACAATACTTAAAGTATAAAACTAAATCTAGGCTATGTAAAACTATTCACACTAACTAACTATTCCTGAAACTGACTAGTAATAGTTCATATTTGATTTGTACATATTTTAAGCTTATGAAAGTGTTCATTAACCTAAGAAATTTTGTTCCTGTAACACAATATTTGCTATTTTTTACCCTTCAAATATATATTAATATATTATCCATATGTAACTTGATAAAATAAATCAGTAGGCAAATTGGTAGATTCTGTATTGATTGTTTGACATTAAATCTTAAAAGTAAATAGAATACGAAATAATTGTATGCTTGCCACCGACCAGTTGACAATGCTAATTTAATTAACAGCTGTATGGCAGAGCATATTTTCTTTAACACAATAATATGGAGCATAAAATATTCACACAACATAACGTCTATAAGGACATAGACTAATAAATTAATTTATTTTGTAATTTTGATTTACCAACATTAGAAAATCTTTTACATAACGTTTTACACAATTGAAAAAAATCAATAATATAATGTTGAAGCGTCTACTGGTACCTATAATATTTGTACATTCGACTTCAAGAGCTATAAGGATATCAAATTGTATAAGTTAAAATGCCTTACTATGATTTGCAAAATTGCACTTGTAGTTACTATGAGTGTTAGAGTAACACTAAAGATTATTGTTATATTTTATAAGCTGCTATTTTATCTTTTAACAATCTGTCAAGCTCTTGACTTTAATCCTTTGCGCAGGGATTATTCACTGTTTAAGTTACAGGCTTCCTATTTTTCTCAAGTTTTCTCCTTCTTGTGAAGACATTGATCTAATTTAAATTTGTATAGTTTTAACCACCATAGTTTATGGCGGATGCGCAAAATAAAAAATGAATGGCAGGTAAAAAAGTTATAAATGCCTGAGTTTACGGTAACTCATAAAGCATTTACTCATTCTGTCAACTTATACTTGAACCGTTCACAGTTTATTTTATGGGCCTCTACCACAAAGCTGCCCATGATTTGCACACCAGAACTGACCATTAGTCAGCTGATTTTAGTCCGCTGTTATTATCAGCTGTTTTTGTTGAGTTAAAACTTATAGATCGTTGTAAATGAACGCTCGGTAGTGTTACTCTTGGTATTATAATATACTCTAACTTGCAGTATAAACGAACATTTAAACAGGGGTTTTCACAATTGAGGAACAAAATAGATCTAAATCACAACTAATTAGTTTTAAAGCATAAAACCAACTACATGCAATCATAGAAACTAATCCCTGACCTTTTACTTAGGTATGTACTGTACATAAAACTTCAGAAGGCAGAATCTTGTACAACTATTTTATTTTTATAGTCTGGATTGTAGTTTGTACTATTAACCACGACTGTATTTAGCATTTGGGCACCCCTAGGCCCAATAACTTATTTCCCTCTAGTCTTGAGTAACTTTCCTAAAAACCTTTATAAAAAAATAATCAGAGACACCACTCTACGATTCACATTTACCATCAGAGATTCTTTTAGCAATTTACTATGTTCTTTGTGAAACAAAATGTTGTTTTTAAAGCAGTTCTAGGAATTTTATTTATTAACCCTTCCCGGACGGTCCGTTATGTACACAGACAGGAAAATTAATAAAAAATATATTTTTTACATCTGTAATCTTTAGAATGTTGTAAATAGTTGACCTATGCAGCACTTTTGTCCAAAATATTTTTTTAATTTTTTTTATAGGTAGGCCTATATATTATTTTTTTTATTGTTTATTCTTATAGAAAAACATTCCTAGTACATCGGTTAAAGATATAATTGAATAAAAGACCGTTTTTACAAAGATTAATGTTGTTATATATAACCAACTATAACAATAGATGTTGTAATAATCGGCGGATATATATGACTACCGTCCAGACAGCCAAAATACCGTCCGCTATGCACAAAATGATAGAGGATATATCCGCCTATAGTCCGGGAAGTGTTAAATAAATGGGGAAAGCTTAAACGTTTGAGGGACTGAAAAACAAACTATCCAACCTGCAGGCAGAGCATTACTGCAGCTCCCAAGGGCAAAATATTCCTAAAGATTTCTTTTACATTTCCTCCATTTTTTTTACAGTTAAATAAAATCTTTAAAATATAAATTGGCGTTCAATGAAAGTTTAATAATTCAACCTTAGCAGGAAAACTTACGCTAAAAACGGTGATTGTTTAAGCAAGGTCCAGTTTTACCAACCTAACCTTATCATATTAATAATATATATACACACCACAACTACTAAATGGAAGCCTTAAAATCTACGCTTGACTATTTTGCATTTTTGATATTTACAAAGATTATGTATAAAATCGGGCACTCTTTATATGGCTATACACTTCATCTACAGGTACTTGTTGTTAAGGAATGTCCTCTCATAAAAAAAACTGGCACAGTAAAGCTAATGTCTAAAACTGTATTTAAAGAAAACTGAAGTCAGTTAGAAGTTTAACCCAAATAATTTTCTTCATGAATCGTTTTACAAACATCATTTGTAATTCTACTAGGCCCTAACTAAATAATTCAGTTACGATTGATACTTAAAATTCAAACCTTAGAAACATACATTCATTTCCTACATCACAACTAAATTGTTGCCTAAATTAAAATACTATCAAAAATAATACTTTTACATCAAATTACAATTGATTACTTAGATAATATACAAAATAAAAAAGTGTATTAAAATATTATAAACAAAATTATTTCTTCAAATGTATGAAAAAGAAAACATTTCATTCAACTCGGATATATTTCATCTAACCAGTACAGAATACAGTAATAATTATTATTAAAAATCATTCTAAATGATTCTCACTTAAACTGTTTCATTACCGTACTAAGTTTATAGAGTAAAACTGAAAACCTCACAAATGTTTGAACAAAATCAGGAACTTAAAGAAGAGAAAAAATATCACAGTGTAAAAAAAGTCTTTTTTTTAATACTATACTAAAATAGTTTAAAAATGAGTATTTTCATAAATGTAAAGTTGACAAATCAAGCTAGGTTAAAGCTATAAATAATTTCCTTTTTTATGTGTAAAAATATTATAATATCTTAAAACATGTTTTGATACGTATAGACTACGTATTACAATCAGATAGACGTTTTACCAACTACAATAGAAACTGCTAATCTGTGGGTCTTATTCCAAATATTTACAGCTTTGCTCAGCTGTTAAGAGATTCCAATTAAAGTAACTACAGTATGTTTGCACTCCGTTCAAAAATTGACTTATCGTAAGATCTGACTAATATGAATTTTAAATGTGTAGTAGAATATTTGATCCATAAGCAAAATTTTGAATAAACTGATGAGCAGGAAAAAACAAAGAGTTTGTCTTGGAGGAGTTTGAAATTTATAAATCATCTAACTTATTACCACCAGACAATAAAAGTGCTACATGTTTCAGCAAACTGCCATTTTCAAACACTACAGTCCAGGAATAAACATAAAATCTGCTTGAATAGCTTTGTTTAATCTTAATGGTTTAAACACACCATACATTCATTTACCACTCATACTGGCAATGTTGCGTACCCATTACAGGCTTATATAACTAAAATTATTCGTCTATATGTTGTGTTTTAAAAGTATGTGTCCTTTTTTTTAAACCATCACCAAAACTATTGGCAAGCAGATTTAATGTTTATTCCTGAACTGAAGTGTTTGAAAATGGTGGCTTGCCGAAACATGTAGTGTTTTAATATTTACAATTTGGATCCGCTGACAGGTAATGTAAAACCGATTAGGAAATAAATATTAATATTGCAGTTCAGGATCTATTACAATGAATGTTACGTAATAAAATTACTAACTCACAACATTTTTTTTAACACAATTGTTTTGCACTGTAAAGGCAGATTTTTAATCCATATTAAAATAAAGCAGCTTATAAGTTATCCAATGAAAGACAAGGGTTGTTTGAAAAGTAAAGTTTGATGTTTTTAATGTAAAATACTTTACAAGGCCTTTGTTTAAAGAACTTTTATATTTGGATTTCTAAAATATTTCTGTACATTATTTATGATATCCCCAAATTTATTTTAAGATTTATCTTATCTTCAACAAAAAGCTTTTGAACTTTTAAAGTCAAAAGCCGCGTTTACATCGGAGTTTGGAACTTTTTGTTGGTAACACTTGTTTCTAACAATTTGTTAGAAACAAAAGTTTACAACAAACTTTTCTTTGATTTTGATAGAAACAATGTAATCACCGTTCCTAAGAATACTAGGTCAGTTCTTCTCGAGATGTCTATAGAAGAGGATCTTTTACTGGTCACGGCGGCATGTGTGATCCTATTTACGCAGCGGAGACCGAGGTGGTACTATGTGAAACCGCGCAGCAAGCTAGATCAAAATACAGTGGCAATGACCTGTTAGATGATTTTAAAAGGGATGATATCGACCTCCTGTCGGGCTGAGGACGGACAGGAGTTTCAAAACCTTTAGAGAATGTCTAGTGCTGATTTTAAATATTTTACTCTTATGATTGGCCAGAAGATTAGCATAATAGACACCAATTACAAGAAGATTGAAGGCTATTTCTGTAAAAGAAAAACTTGCAGTTTTGAATAGTATTATTGGACCAGAAGGACTGACGCTGAGGGCGCAGGGTGTGGTCATGTGGCGTAGGGGTGGGGGGTACGGTAGCGGGGAAGTGTTGTTAACAGCGTAGAAGTACTGAAACATGTGTTCCTAAAAAAATGTTTCCACAAGTTCCAAACACCCTTTGATCTTTACAGACTTTTGGTGGGAAACAAAATTTCTGTTGTAAACACTAAAAACAGTTTCTAAAATCAAAAATGTTTCTTTACAAAAAGTAGTATTTCTTGGTTTGTTGGGAACATTTGTTGAAAACATGTATTCCCAACTCCGGTGTAAACGGGAGACAATCAATTAATTAATCTGTTTTCCATACCGTTGCTTTGTCTATGATTCACCCTACTGAACTCCTAAGCTGCCATATAGTGATCATTTTTGTGAGATCAACACTCAACTAAATAAGGCTATGACAGTAGGCCTACTACAAATAGTGGAACTCAAATGTTAACAGTTATTTCTTGGCTGTCCGTTTTATGCATACTCCATCTAAAGACGTCAAGAGGCACAACAGTATTAAAAATTTTAAGATCTTACATGCTCCCAATTCAGCTACCCATTCACAATAAATTGTATCCTCCTGAGGGGAAAAGGTTGTTTGAGTCCTGAAAAATAACCATTGTAAACAGCTTCCCAGGTTATGGAGACAGATTTTTTCTCAAGATTGGTCCTCTATCTAAATTTTATCGGAAACAAAACAGCTTCCAGATACTTAACCCATTATTGGGAGTGGGTGAAATGAATCTTCCACATGAGTAGTTAATACCTCCACTTTCAGAGTTGGAAAAATTAGAGGTTAAAATAGAAAATGACAGGATCCATCATGTAGCTATATTGTAAAGTATCATACTATGTATCCCCTAGTCAATCACATTGACTATGCAAAACTAGCGGTGAACTGTTTGACTACCTTTTGATTACTTTCTATGGGCTGCCCAGTCTTCACAGCGAACAAAGCATATTTAATTTTGCTCTGTGCAGATAGATCTTTTGTTTTGTTTCAGATAAAACTAAAACAGAAATTGAAATTAAAGTTGTTTAACAACTTGAATAATCTCCAGAAGCGTACTTCACAATTCAGAGCTACGCAGTTGTCTATGACACCATAAAATAATACTAAGGCTCACAGCAACAGTAGGCATTCAAATTATCACGTTTAACATCCAAGATATGTCAAGAGTTAAACATGGACAGTTTAACTGTGAACTGGACTTAGCTTTTCAAACAACCCTCATGAATGGCACTAGTTTATGTAGCCTACGGCACCTGAAGTGGTTTAGAATGCCTCTCTCGCAGCGGCCACGAACGCTGCCATCTCAGCCGACTGCGGGGGATTACCCCCTCCCCTACCTCAGGATCCACCTTGTGCAGGACCCCCGTGTTGGTTCAGCTCCGCCTTGACACGCCGAGCAATGTGGCTGCGTGTGTGCTTGCGTAAGTGGTCTTTTCTGTAGAACCTAAAACATAAAATTAGATTAAGTTGGGAGCCATGGTACAGCATAACTTTTCTGTTTTTTTTTTGTTTTTTTTTTTGTAATCATTGATTGAAATAATTCAGGTAACTTTTCAGGGTTACCAAAAGTCATTAAAAAATTCATTTTTACACTTTTCAAGACAAAAACTTAACATTTCTAGATAACAATTTGTTGTTTGAAAAAAGTATACTAACTTATTAGTAGGCCTACCTACTAAGTACATTAGAAAGAGTTCAAAGATACTATACCAGTATTAACTGTAATTAAAAAGGTAATTATCTATAAAAACATGTTTAGTAATGTATTATTTGTGTAATGAAATATATTGTTTAATAGGCCTAGTTTGGTTCATTGTCCATACTGGCGTCCTGCATAGATATTATTAGACTAATGGTTACCAGGAATTTAAAACCTTTGATGAAATTCTAAAAACAAAAATACCGGTAGCCTACTAACTTAGAATTTGAGTGCATTTTTTTTTCAAACAATATGGAAAAAACTATGAAAATATATTCTTACTATTATTTAACCTATTTGTTTATTCTTTAAACCAATGAATTTTTTTTTGTGTTTTAAAAAGGGAAACTGTATTGAATCAATTCTAAATCCTGTATTAGGCCTTGTCATAGTCTACGCATGGGGTGTGAACAAAAGAAGAGAAAACTATGGTTCTTTAATTTCACTGTTCAAAATATTTACACATCCATAATTGATTAAAAACAAACTCAATTATATCACTTAGCATGTTCACATTATCTTTCTTTTTGTTATTCTGATGGGGGCTGAGAGGTGAATTTTAAATTAACTGGTGATTCAGGCATTTGTGATAGTTGAGCTTTTTGAAAAAAACGGGCAAACAAATTTTGAAAACATTATTTACAGGAAATATATGGCATGAACTATAACGTTTTGAGTGCACTGGTGCACGTTACCGTCCCCCACCTTATTCAATTATTAGGCCAAAATTGTACTTTTCAAGGGTGAGTATTTTCTGCTGTTTACTTACCGACTAGAGACATGTACATCTACTTTTACAAAAAGGTCATTTAAATGTCGGTAGTTACGGCTATTTAACTATCTCAATAGATATTATGTCCAACCGACTTTGACTCATCAACCTGTTGATTCATTATAACATGGCAATTTTGGACAAGTAAGGTGGAGACTTACCCTTTTCCACACTCTGGACAAACATGGCGCTTCTCTCCTGAATGTATGACAAAGTGTAAAGTGAGTTGCTCCTTGCGTTTGAACGCCTTGCAGCAAACAGTGCAGACGTACGGACGGTCGGGGTTGTGGCTCTGTTTGTGTCTCGTCAGATGGTCCTTGCGTTTCAACCCGGCTCCGCAAATGTCACAGAAGAACCTGAGAAATAAGGTTTAGGCATTAGATCCCTCATTAGATTCAGAAACTTACTGAAATTACGTCTTACAAAAATGAACCATAACATTCCTGACAAGTAAATTATCAGTCAATAGGACCTTAATAGGTCAAGTCAATTCAACGATTTTATTTTCACATAAACGTTTACAGTTGAGAATATTATTTTAGGATTGAAATAGATAATTTTTTTCAATATTTAAATGCTACAAAGCTACGGTATCTTACATTTTCAACTTAATTAAAAACATTGTTATGTAGGTCTTCTGTCGAGACACAGATAGGCAAGTAAAAAGTATAAAAAACATGAGTCGAGTTACATTAAGATTAAACACCAACCTGCGTTCCATTGTATGCCCAAGCAGATGCTGTTCCAAAAGTCCTTTGTCGGGATAGGCCATGTGACATTCTGGACAACAATACAAAGTGGAACCATCCAACGCTGTGGTCAATCGTATCTCACCCGGTTTAGGTTTAGGTTTTTTCTCCTTGTAGACAATCTTCTTTTTCTTTTTTCTCTTTGAAGGTGATAGTGGCGATTCCTCTTCTTGCTGATGTAGTTGATTGTGGCCAATCTGATCCAGAGGCGGCTCCATCGATGTTTCCACATCTCTTTTGTTACTCGTGTTGCTTGTAGTTTCAGGTGATGAATACTTTAAAAAGTGATGAAGCGATATCGGTAAAGTCGATGCTGGGAGATGCGAAAGATAGTCGGCAACTGTAGATCCGGGTGTGGCAATGCTTTGCCATGTGGGAGGCATTCCCGGCTGAATGATTGTGTATTCAGAGTTTTGATCGTGCTCGGTCTTCTGTTCAGACTTTATTTCCCGCATGTTTTCTTGGTACTGACCTTGTTTTATATCCTCTTGATAAACATAGTGAATAGTTTCATTCTGGTGGGGAACAGGGCTTGATTCTGATACTGTGACCATTCCGTTATCAATTTGAGTGCTACTATCCCTCTGGTATTTAACTGGAATGGAATGCTGCTCGTAATGATTGTACCTGCTGGTGGAATTCACCATTGGCTCCTCAGTCATAACTGATGTGTTCTGAGTACTTGTGGTTATACCATTCATCGAGCTATTGGTCTCATGTGTGTATTTAGGCGGGCTGAACTGATGCACTGAGACAGGTACCGATGAAGGGAAATGCCCCCCAAATGGTGAAAAGTTCATGTTTACGAAGTTCTTTTAGTCCTGTAACATAAAGACTGGGTAAGTTTAAAGTAGTTGATGCATCAATCACTCATACTACTATAGGCCTAGGTCAATTTTTAAGGGCATAACTTACAAAAAAGTACCTTTCCAAGTTAAAGTAATGCCACCTAAGCTGGCACTTAAGCCTGGCGCGGGCGGGGGGAGGTTAGAGTCAATGAATTTTTTTAAACTAGGCTACCGGTAGTAACAATCAGTCAAGTGCTAGCCTACATGTCACCAGATGTAAACTTAAGTCTTGTAACTTAGTCGACCATACAGAATAATATTATAGGCTAGTATTATTTTATTGTAAGTTAGGCTACATTAACCTTCCATCGGGCGCATCACGGAGGTTACCTCCGGGTCACTACTTTTTTTGTTATAAAAACCATAGTATGTGTTCGGCAGGGCTGTGGCCTGATTTAACTCACGAACCGCTTTTGCGAATAAGTTGTCAGTCAACCTTGGGGAGTGGTTTGTGTCACTACTGGAAGTAGCTTCCGTGAGCGCCCTGTGATGCAACGGGTTTCCTGGAGCCTAGTTCCGTGTGCACCCTTATGTTTGACCGTATTTAGCGATATTATAAAATGGATGATGAAGAACTAATTGCGAGATTGTTGGCTAGTGTTGAAAGGGAGGACAAGGAACAACATTTAGAAGAAAAAACTAATGGTGTGTGAGTTCCGTAAGCTTTTTTTTCAAGAAAAAGAGCTTTGACAAAATGTGTACAGTAGTCTTTCTAACAACTGATTTTTTGCATTAGACAATAGGTGTTTAATTTCAAACACCATTGCAATTTTTTCTAAGGAGCTTTGACAAAGTAAGTTGTCTTTATGAAATAATTATCTTTTTTCATAATACCATAGGCCCCTAGGTGTTTATATGTCATACACTGATGCAATTTTTGTCTAAGAGCTTTGATTGAATGAGTTATCCTTGTACAAAATTATTATTTTTATTACACCATGTACCTACATGTCTTATGTCATAGGCTACAATATTCAAATTTGTTTTCTAATAGGTACCCTATATAAGTACAAAAAGTAAATCTTTTTTATCCACAACACTTACGTATTTTTATTTGTTTTTATAACATTTTCTAATTTGATATACTACTTTAAGTAATAGTGAAAGTAATAACTCATAAAAAATGTGTTTCTTGCAGTTTTATTGATATTAAAATGTTTTTTACTCATCATTGCATAGTTTTTGTACTCCCGGAGGTAACTTCCGTGAGCGCCCTTTGGTGTTTGAAAATCAATGCGCCCCACGGAAGGTTAACTTAGGCAACTTAATGTAGAGTAGTAAACTAAAAACCGAAGGTTAGAAAACACTAACAAATAGGCCAAGGGTTCATTGAATAAAAAAAAATACACTACCGTACAACCTCACTACTCGACACCCAGCACCGGTTAAGCCGGTACTTAAGTTAGTCTTGCAAATGTGAAAAGAGTAACTACCAATCTAGAACATCTAAGTTATCTAATTTAAATGGCTACAATAACTTATAAGTTATGCTAAGTACCTAACTTAGCAGGAGGCAGAGAGCAGCTACAAAAAACTCTTAATTAAAAAAAAAACCATTGATGTTTTAGCGACGATAGGCTATTATCGGAACATCGATGGTTAATACCAACCGGGACAATGGTCCCTAACTTACTTAAGTTTACTATATTTACAAGCCCCCCTTAAGTTAGTTCATAGAATGGTTATTTAAACTTAGTCTCAACTTTTTAGGTACTTTTATTTATTCAATAAATCCATCAATAGGCCTAATTGATACTTTTAAGCATTCAGCAGAAGGCTAAAGTTTAGGCTTATATTTTTATGTTTTTCTGTATCCTTTCTTTGTGGAACAAAATTAAACACTTAACTTAAACAATTTAGGCATAGGCCTAGGCCTCCTAAGTACTTATTGCCATAATTGAACATGTAGGCCTAATCAACCTCTAAGAATGCACGAATGCAGTTAGGCCTATACAAATTTTCTAGGCTATGATGCCTAAACAATCAATTTAAAATTGAGTGGCCAATTTATTGTAGTAAGTTTAACAGACGATTGATTAACTAGTCTGTTTTAAAGGCAAGTTTGACAATTTCTTTATTCTTACCATTTTTACGAAAACCTTGAATATAATTTTCAAACAGACGCCACACAAAAACTACAATAATTGTTTCCCGCACATAAATACAATCACAAATCACAACAACAGAACCAAACCAGAACAGGACAGACCAACACCTGCCTCAACCCAAACCACAAAACCGTGAACTAAAAAAGATGGTGGAAGGAGGAGGAGAGAAAACGAGAAGTTTAGTGAAGCAGAGAGCTTTCGGGAGGGGTTCATAGCGGCCAGCGGGAGGAGGGGTAATTAATTAATCGAAGAGGGGTGTGGGGTTGTGGGAGTCTTATAAGGGTGAGTTTTATTTTTCCATAGAGTCTATGAGTGGGTGCAAAATTATATGATACACCAAAATTTCGTGACATTCTGCCTTTGAGTTCTTATGGTGTAATTTACATTAAAACTCATATAAGAATGGATTTACTCAGTTGTGACAAAAGAAATTTAATAAATTTGGAAACTTGTTTGTGCTGAAAAATAAGGCAATCACCTAGTCGTAATAGTATTAACGTTATTAGCCTAGTCTTGAAAATGTGGTTAACCGGACGAGTGTGGTCACGGAAGTGTGGTCGTTCCCGTGCGAGGCGAAGTTGAGTGCGGTACGAGTCCGGTAAACACATTTTGGACGAGTGACGTACGATGTTTTACGCTATACTACCTCTAAACATCTGTACAACTTATTGATAATTATTAACAGTTGTGTCTAAGGAACATGTCGGCCTTAGTCACGAACAAGACAACAAGATCGCACCACATCATCCTTCACTCATATTTGGGTTTGAATACGCACATAGTGGCGTCCCCATCTTAAATAATTGCTGATAATTGATAATTTATATTCCCATTGACTAAAAGACTAAGATACCCCGCCACAGCAAACCTGCCGACTAATCGAATTTCCATTTGTATGAATTGATTTTCAATCAAATCTATTTAAATAACATTTGGTTTAAAAGTACCTAGGTTTTTGTAGCTACAATGAAACTAATAAATTGTGTTTTTTATATTAATAGCTTAGTATAAAATAAATAAAATTTGCCAAGTTTGATTAAGATATTATATTCATAAACAAGCAAACTACAACATTATATTCTCCATAAGAATAACATGGGGATTTAACATTTTTTAATTTTTCTCCGTTACCAATAACCGTACAAAAACACTTTGATACAAAAAATTATTTGTTTTTTTTAAGCTCTTTTAAAAAGGTCTAAAGGGAAAATTGGAAAACTTTGTGTTTTGAGAGTCAAAAATAAAAAAACAATATTTTTTACCCCATAAAACCCCCCTGGAAAACCCATTTTCTGATCATACTGGAAATTATGGTTGTATTTGCATGCAATCGCAGTAAACTTCTATAATCCTTCGCGACCGTGTAGACATCGTAATCGTCTCCAACGATGATTGCGGCAAAATGTTAATTATTTCCCGCGGTTGTGTAGACATATTTTATCGTCTTGCATGATCACGGCAATATATGAAACATATCAACATATCTCGCGATCGTGTGGACATTGAGACGGTCAGGTAGTCATTAACCGTATTTTTTTGGAATATCATGGATACCGGCCCAAAACCCAGTTTTGGTTATTGTCATTGTCGGTACCTAGTATTGGTAATAGGTCAGTGGGAGCGTGTCGCAACCCTGCTAGCCACTAGCCAGCATAATCTTGCAGAGTTTACTTGGGTTTTGTCTAGTGTCACAAAGTATTGGGTGCATCGATTGCTACATCACGTTCGGTTGATTTGATCGTGGCATGGAATGTATGGACTAATTGTTTTGCTGACAAGAGGTGCCATCATTCCGTGTGACGTGTGGGACTGCCGAACCTGGGGGACAGTTAGTCGGGTTTGAAGAGTCCGTGAGCCACGGTTACGAGCTATCGCTTTCCTTTCCCCGTAGATGTCCGTGGGGGTGGGCATGTCCGCTTACCAAATCACTTTTATATAGTATATATTTTCAATTGATAATAACTCATTACAAATAATTTTATTTTTTTATCATAATAAATCAAGTGTTAAATTCTCAATTCGGCTTTCGATTATTGAGTTTTCCGCCCTTCCCGTGCGTGGTTGTTACAACCGTCTCCCACGGTCATGGAAATGTCACTGTTGTAGCGGTATTGTAAACTCTAGGTAGAAATACAAAATTCAATAAATCAATAAGTAATTTATTTAACCAAAATAACAATTACATGCATTGGTCATGTCATTTAACAAAACATACAGTTTCTAGACTTAAATAAGAAATAATAACTGTTCTTTTTTTACACTAAGGATACCTATGATCAAACAAGTTTGATAGTTTTTTTTGCCGTCAGAACTTACGGACGCTGTAATAAGCTTTTTTTAAGAAATGATTTTAGGGTTTTTTTTTAATTTCAGATGGTTTGATACTGCTTTGAGGTGAGAGGGAAGATGGTTGAACATTTTTATTGCATTATATCGGAGATGGTTTTGAAAGAAGGAAGTGTGGTGTCTAGGAACTGGGAGGGTATTTGTGGATCTCAAGCTATAATGATGGTCTGTTAGAGTGTTAAACTTGCCAGTGTTTTGGTGCAGAAAGGATAATGTCTTGTAGATGTAGAGTAGAGACATGGGAACGTTAATATTTTGGATGATAGAAAAACTGATTTACAAGTCTGACATCTATTCATTGAAAAGATGGCTCTAATTACCCTCTTTTGAAGGCGGAATAAAAACAGTTCTTTTGTTCTCACAACCCCAGATAGGCAAGGCGTACACGACATGAGGGAAGATGAGACCGTAATAAGCAGAAAAAAGGACATCGGGCTTAGATAGCTTTGCAAGGGTGCGGATGGCAAATATCCCTGAACTTACCCTATTGGTGACGTATTGAATGTGGTCATGGAAATTAATCTTCTCATCTAAGACCAGCCCAAGAAACTGTGTCTTCTCTATTGGGTGTACTGGAACTTCATCCAAGTGAAAACTAAAATACTTAGAAGATCGATCAGAGATATGAAAATTGAGAAGTTGAGTCTTTTGAGAGTTTAACGAAAGCAGATTATTCTCAAACCACTGAACTAGCTTGTTGGCTTCAGAGAAGGTCAATTGCTCAAGGAGTCTCTACATCAGGGCTGGACAAGGAAAGAGATGTATCGTCGGCATAAAGAATGGTCCTAGCCGATTCAACACCCATGGGAAGATCGTTAATAAACAGGAGAAAAAGTGTAGGGCCTAAGATGGAGCCCTGGGGCACACCTCTCAAGATAGGAAGCTCAGGTGAATTGAATTGCCGCAGAAATCCACGCTCATCGACTGACGATACCCGTACGACTGCCTCCTGTCCCTCAAGTATGACCTGAACCATTCTAACGCCAAACCTCTTATCCCATAGTTATGTAATTTTTCTATTAGAAGGTCATGATTAACAGAGTCAAAAGCTCTACTCAAGTCAAAAAGCAGTCCCGTGGAACAGTTTCCTTTATCAAGAGAGCAGACTATATATGTCATCAATGGAGGGCAAACATTGCACTCATCATAGATCTATCTTTCACAAATCCGTGTTGGTTTTCACATATTATATTATGTTGTTTAAACAAAATTTTCAAACGAATTGAAACAACCTTTTCAAAAATCTTCGAGATAGCAGTCAAAATGGATATAGGCCGATAGTTATTGAGGTCTTTTTCATCACCCTGTTTATGTACTGGTATGACTATTGAAATCGTACTGAAATTTCATCTGAACCAGCAGAATTTTTTTTTCAGAGAGGCAGTGACTTCTTTTACTTCTCCCTTTGATGTTGGATGGAGGAAGAGTGAGCCTTTAGGTCGTCCTACCAATGCCACGCTTGTTTTCAATCCATTCTCTGAGTTATTAACATTGACTTTGACAAAATTATCATTGAATCTGGAGGCAATGTGCAAGGGATCGTAAGTCGCCTCACCGTTATCATCTCTGATACACATTTCTTTAAAATCGTTTGATTTCTTTCTGATTTCTTCACGCATAGTTCCTGGATTTCTTGGTCGGTGGAAACCCTGTTGCTGCAAAGAGGTAACTACTAGGTGTTGTGTCTACTAGGGCACTGACCACGGCCGCCTTTAACTCCAGGCCGCGGCCTGGTAGAATTGGCAACGTCGCAAGTAGGGTTCGTGAATTGCAAATTATTTTATGGAACTACCGGTTCTATTTTTATAAATATTTTATGATATAGTATCAATGTTTTACAAGTAAAAGTCCATAACCTCTTATTTAATAAACTACAAACTATTATCTGTAATCACCCAATGTAAATCTTATATGGAAATTACAAGCTACAAGTCACCACTTTTAACTATAAGAGAACATTTAAGCATAGATAAAACATACTTTTAAGTTCAGAACTTAAAGCTACAGTATAGTAACTTGTAACATCAAACTCGTTCATATGAAAGTAATAACCTAAAGTGTTAAATTAATTTTGAGCAGTTAGTTGGTACTTGACACATCAGCTGGTTTTTATAATCTGTCTGTCGTCTGCAGTGTTTTAAGTCTATCTCCAATCTCCATCCAGTCCAGTTCCAGTAGTATTGTAGTATTCGATTAGGTTTGTTTTTGTTAGGTTGTAGGTTCGGTTGGAGGTTGTCTTGGACTTGATGTGATGTAAATGTAAACATACGAAAACGAAATAGTGATGGGAGAATCGAATACTTTAAAGAATCGAATACAGTGAATTCGTAGCCTCCCCTGTATTCGAATACTTTTACGAATACTTGTATTCAAACACCTTTGAGTCTGCAAAGCATGGAAAATGAGTGTGTAATTCTTTTTTCATAATGCAACGGTTCTTTTGGCCACTGTTATTTCGTTTTACAGTAATTAATTCATTAATATAATTTATTCAATGTAATTTTAAATTATATGATTTTTAAAAGGTACATTTATTTTGACTTATAATTATTTCATGGTCAGTTACAGTCTTATTAATGTATTATTTTCTATTATATTAACTAATTAATATCTTTAATAATATGTCTTATTCATTTGTATGGATAATTTACATCAGATATGCATGTTATTTTGCCATGTAACTATATAAATCGGTTGTAGTTATAATAAATTCTATTCAATTGCCCTCTACCAGTAGTAACCTAATATTTTAAATAGGTATCCAATATATTCTAAATGTTAACGATTAATAATAATCTTATGTAAATTATAGGGCTAATGGTAAAATTATAACGAACAGATGAAAACAAATGCTGCAGTAAAAACATTAAATACTCTTACGAATGCTACGGATTCGTAACGTAAGATATTCAAAAGGGAATTCAGTAGTTGAAAAAGTGTTGAATACATTTTTGAATCCCCCGAATAGAAATCCTGCAAAATCTGAGGTCAAGAGTATTCACAAAAAAGTATTCGTACGAATCTGAAGTATTCGAATCTACGAATACTCGGGCTGTATTCGAATACTATTCGATTCTGTATTCGATTCTCCCATCACTAAAACGAAATGTTACTTGATTGAATATTCCATTCGCGAGTTTCTCAATAACAAGTGTCATTGACTGCTTGTTTGAACATCTATAATAGCCGATAAAAAAAATCACGTCACTCGTCAGTGTTCTTTCTTTATTGTTTTTAGGGTTGTTTTAACTTCAAAATGGAATGGGACGATATTGTTTATCTATCTTTGTTATTTTCCTGCATAGGATTCGGTCACTTCTTGAGACAGATAAAAGATAAAGAATGTAGAAAATGGGTAGCTACTGCTTTTGGATTTACAATTGTATTTATTGCTTCAGGCCGACACATATTACATCCCTTGTTTACTGTTTTGGTCAACTCACTCATCATCTTATATGGAAACAAAAGGTAGCTAACTTAGGCCTAGTTGCCTATGTTTATGATTTAATTAGTTTCAGTGGGGCCTAAGCCCGAAATAGATCAAATAACTTGTTGTAGACCTAGAAGGATCAGTGTGTTTTAGGATGCACACATTTGTTTTATAAAAAGGTTAGGCCAGAAATGGTTATTTTTAACTTCTAAATAAGCTAATCAGTTCTTGATCAACAAAATTAACTTATGGGCAAAGGCTTCATGAACCCAACCAAATAGTGTTTCAAGCTACCTATCACATACGTGACGGTATAGGTACAGTTTACATCAAGGTTTCAATTTCACGTTGAAGTCAGGACAGTTTTGTTAATTAATGTTTCTTTAAATGTGCAGTTGTAGTTGTAATAATATCCAGCTGTTGTTTTGTTCATGTTGATTAGAGTCTGTTATTTATTCTGCTAGTTGTTTATAGAAATTCATTATTTTGAAGCTATCTTTCTTATGTAACTTATTGGTAAGTTACCAGGTACTGTATTGTTGCTGCATGGTTTTTTTACTAAGTTATCGTACGGTACTAATATACTCAACTATACTCCGTTCACAAAAGTTAGGCGGTTTGAGAGGAAACAATCCCATCCCCTCCACTCTAACTTTGAAACAACAGTCAACAGGTGATCAGTTGACAGTTGACATACCGTTTACATTAAGCTAAGAAAGTGGTGGTAGAACCTAGGAGACCCTCCCCTTAAACCGCCTACATTTTGTGAATTTACTAATTTGTATTTAATCAATGGTAGGGCTACAAGTAACAAAGTCTTTTAAGAAAGAGTCTTAAAATTCAATTGTAAAAGACTAATATTAACTAAAAATTTTTGTTTTTCAGATCCATCCATGTCTACAGTTTTGCATTCACGTTTACTTATTTGATATTCTTCCGAACCACGGAATATTTTGGAATACCTTATCCACCGTCTCACACAAATCTTATACAAATGATTCTTACACTCAAGGTAAGTTGTATTTTCAAATATTTTTTGTACCGTACCGTTGAACCCCGCTAATCTGACCTGTGGCTAGTCCGACTCCTCGCATAATCTGACCGTGACATTGCCCATCAATGATAATTTTATTGTGGTAATATCGTGAGCATTTCCCAAGGTCATGTGGACATCACCGCTCCTGCAATATGGAAAAAAAACTATTAGCCTTGGTCTTGGAAACATCATCGCCGTCTTCTGCAATTATCGTCATACATACCTACTAAATCTACTGCGGTCACAGAAACATTATCATTGTATCCCACGATGGTGGAATAATATTGTATGTTTTTTTTGTTTGAAGTTCATTGTTGGTGATGGTGAGTTAATGTTGTTCAAAGGTTTATTGCGGACATTTTCCATCACGATGGTTAAAACAATACACAACGTTTCGGGATCTGGAATCTGATCTCGTCCTCAGGTAAAAAAACTTAACTAACACATTACAACTAACAATACACAAACGCCCAACCTAAGTTGGAATACACTACAGATGGGTAGCATTGTATGTTTGTAGGACGTCTTCCGCGGCAACAGGAACATTGAATGATTGATTCAGGAACGATTGACTCCCGTGATCATAGAAAATCTGCTAATTACAGTGGTCAAGAAAAAGAAATCATCATCATCTTTAGGGATCGAATATCTAAATATTTAACTTCTTGCGAACTTGCGGGGATATCATCAACGTCTCCCACGATCACGGAAACATTTTTATATTTAGCCTATCTGACATTGCGTTACAGTCATGAATATCTACTGCGGTAACAGAAACATCATCATTGTCTTCCAGAACTGTCAAAATATATAGGTCTAATGTGATGTCAATCTTACCTGAAATCGCAGAGAAAAGAATTAAATATAGACAGACAGCAGGCTGCGGTTAGCATACGTTCTGGCATCCACTGCTAGGAGTGCCACATAGTTCTGGCGCACACCGCTGCAGCGTCAAGCGCTAGCGAGCGTTGCCACTGACAAGTTGGTTGTTCAAGCCAGGGTTGCCAACTTCTTCCCCCCCCCCTCCCCCGAAACTCGGCGAGTAAGGTACTCGAAACATGTTTTGAAAATCAAAAATAAATTTAGCGTTCTTGCATCGCTAGACAATGATCTTTCCCTGGAGAGTCAATCGTCTCTCCAAAAAAGATACCCCCACCTAGGATAACTCCTGAAAAGACTGTCCTTCCTAAAAATATAATTATCTTCCTAAAAAAAAACCATTTCCATCCAAAACGAATTCCATCGGGCAAACTCATGCTCATATTCCGCTCCCTGTATCTTCAGTTCGTACCCTCTCAAAGCCAGTGTTGATTGTTGTGTGCTCAGATAGTCACGGGTGCCTCATATCGAGGCTGCTTAGGGAAAAAGTAAAATCAGAAAGTGTAGTGACTGATTGGGTAAAACCACCTAATGGTAAGATGGAAAACATTTTACAAAAAGTAAGAGCATATTCTTCAAATGTTTGTGATTATATCGTCATAATGGGGGGGGGACCAATAATAATGTAAACGAACGCTGCAGCTTAGACTTGGAAACTACTCATTGGCAAAATCTCTAGCACATAAGTAATCCTCGTTGGTCTTCCTGCTAGACACGACAATCCCTCCCTCAATGCATCTGTGAATGAAGTAAACTCCGGCTTTCTCACACAAAACAATGGCATACAATCATTGCCTGTCATCTAAATACAATAACGTTACATTTCTGTCCTTAAGTTCCATCCCTCGTTTTGCATTCCATCAGACATGGGCTACATCTGAATTTCAAGGGTAAACATATTTGGCAGATTCAATGAATCTGTCTAAATGTTCTTTCCCCATCCAGACACCTTCTAATAGTCAACTCTATCCTAAGCCTCGGCTGAACAACAAATCAATAACTGTATCCAAAAAAGTTCCACCTAATCCTGTATGTTCTTATATAGCTGAGCAAAGAAACAACCACAATACTCTAACATTTGTGACCAACATCTTTTAGGAGAGGCTCAGAAACCTTTGGGGGTTCCTTGGGCACACTTCCTAAGGGGAACCAGAGAAAGAATAAGATGATTAACTGCCTCAAAATAGCACATCAGAATATTAAGAGTCTAATAAGTATATCTGCTAGAAATATTTATTATAGATGAGATTCCTGATATCCTGTGTTTGTCCGAACATTTCTTGAAAGAGCATGAGATAGAAAATTTAGTCTTAGGCAACTTGACTTACGTCTCTGCTTTCTGTAGAACTAAAATTAATGGGGGCGGTGTGGCAATATGGTGCTCTCCTGGTATAAAACACCAACCTTTTGACTGTAGCCTATAGCATTTAGTTTGTGAACTTTCTGCAATGTCAGTAGAAGTCAGTAAAATAAGTAAAATACTTATTGTAGCGGGCTACAGACCGCCATCAGGTCACTATGATAATTTCTTTGAATATACGAGTGACTGTTGAAATAAATATGCAGCTAAGCACAACAAGGTTTTTGTTCTTGGAGACTTTACTGTGATCATGGTGTCATTTGGTCTGTACAACACTATCCACTCGTATACAAGAGATGCCTCAGGATCACACACCTTAATTGATCACATCTTTGCAAACGATCACGATGGCACAAAGAGTGAAACTATTAAGACTATATTGTCTGACTACAGTGCCCAGACTATAACGACAAACATAAGTTTATCAAACACTGATAGGCAAGTCAAGTTTAAGTACGGACAGAGTTTCTATACCTCTGATATTCAAAGGCTTAAATATTATCTAAAAAGTGAAAAGTGGGATGAGGTGTTCCAAGGGACAAAAACAGAGAATAAACACAATGCATAAGTCAGTTTAGGTACTATTTTGAGATATATTTTCCAGACAAATTAAAAAGTCATATACAATAATCCAATTCACACTCAATGTCATTCTTCCAAAAAAATTTTCAATACAATGCCGTCAAGCTTTTTAATAACCTTCCTCCTTCCCTAAAGACCGAACAGGATTTAAATAGATATCATAAAAGACTAAAGAATTCTTTGATGGATAACTACAACCTTCTGCAGCATTTGTGAGTTTCTTTGCCCTAGAACTGGTAGTGTAAATACAGTAGCATAGTTGACAGTTTTAATTTAGATAAGAGATTTTTTTAGTTTATGTATATATTTAATTATGTTTTTGACGTAGCTGATGCATTTTATGTTAATTTTGCTGAATAAACGACTTATGTCTTAGGAGTTTGTCCCGTCGTTTTTCATTGTCTTAAAAATTTCCAGGGATTTATAAAAAATGGGCTTTTCCATTAAATTGCGGGATTTCAGAATTTTGTAGTTTACTCATATTGAAAAGTGGGTCTGACACATTGGTAGCGTTCCCTTTGCAAGGGTGGTAGTGCTGGTAGCAGACGGTGAATCGACGAACACTAAGCACGCTCTAGCGGCACATGGCGGAAACTTACTTTATCAATCTATATTTAATTCTTTTGTCTATGCTGAAATCGAATCATGCAACCTTCATATTTGAAGGTGAGAAAGAGCAATATAGGTAACTATTTACTTGGCTACCTAGACAATTGTATTGAAGCATGGATGCATATATATGCATCAACCACTCATTCAATTCCTTGCCTTGTTGTTAACTAATTGTTGACTAATTTTAGAAAGTAAAATAAAAATTAATGTAGCCTAGAAGAATGATCAATAGGTCTATATCTACGTAACATTTCAGCTGGTTGGATTGGCGTTTGAAGTGCATGACAGTGCAATTGCTGAAAAGAACAAGGACTCCGACATTGCAGATGATTCTCCTCTCATAGAGCCGGAGGTTTGTCGTATTGCGCCTCCTGGGTTCATGGACATTTTTCACTACTCGTTTTGCTACATTGGCGTGCTGACAGGTAAAATATAAAGTATTAGTATTAAAACAGTCAATAAAGTAAGTTAAAACCCCTGATATTCGGTCTCGTTTATAGCGGTCCTTGGTTTATAGTTTTGGGAAGCCATTATCAAAATGTATTTTTCTCAACTTACAGACGAGTAGTTGCATGATCTCGTCTCCCCGTCTAGAGCTCTCACGGTTTATCTGTTTGTTTATATTAGCAAATTTCCCTATAGGGGAGGTTGATGGTGTAAGGGACTCAACTTTGGTTCCATTTTACCCAGCCCACTTTGGGAGTTTGAAGGGAACCTTACTTTACGGACAGCCCTTGTACTTTATAACAATCAGAGGGCAGAGCCCTTAGTTGATATAGAAATGGTAATCCGACAATAACCTTCCCAGTAATAAAGAAAAATATTTCACTGTTTAGTGGCGATTGAATGATCGGTTAGATAATGCATAAAGGGCATACTGATTTAAATATAATCTGTATATATAACCTAAAGTTTAGACTGTCAAAATTGTAAGTCACCAATTTTTTCAGGACCATACTTCAAGTACCGCATGTACTGGGATATGTTTAATGCTCCATTTTCTGAACTGGCTCCGTGCAAAGAGGCTACGTTGGAGAGGATTATGCCAGTCCCTCTCTGGGCTGTTGCTTTCCTCGTATCATCTTACATCTTTCCTCTTAAGGTAAGCCAACGGTTGATCATTAACGGTTGTTTGAGGGTTAAGTTATGTTTTTTTTTTCATTTTGAGGATTAGGTTACAGTACCTGGGGACCATCATTCCCCCACCCTGCGATGCCAGCCTTTACTACTTCCTTCACCATTTCCTACGTCATGGACCTGTTTCCTTCCCTTCTAATAGCATTTAAGTATTACAGATACATTAATCTAACTGCCACAAACGGTTCCAACACTCTGTGATGCTAAACTTTACTACTTTCTACGTCGTGGACCTGTTTTCATCTCTTTCCATAGCATTTTAGTATTTTAAATACATTAATCTAATTGCCACAAACATTTCCCACACTCTGCACTGCTAGCATTTACTACTTCTTTCACCATTTCCTATGTCTTGGACATGTTTCCATCGCTTCTCATAGCATTTCAGTATTTCAATTTCAGATAGGCCTACATAAATCTAACTGTTACAATTGGTTTCCAGTTCCCAGACTCCACACTGTTCGCCTTTACTACTTCCTTTACCTCTTCCTACGTCGTGGACCTGTTTCCCTCCCTTCCCATTGCATTTTAAGATTGCAGATACCAATCGTAATCGTCTAATCTTACTAATTGTCATTAGTATGTTCCCACACCGGACTGCTTGCCTTGACTACTTCCTTCACCACTTCCTACGTCTCGGACCTGTTTTCCTCCCTTCACATAGCATTTTAAGATTGTAGATACCTTAATCTAATCGTCATTAACAGTTCCCACACTCCGGACTGCTCGCCTTTACTACTTCCGCCTTTCCTACGTTGCAGACCTGTTTCCCTCCCTTCCCATAGCATTTTAGGAATGTAGATGCCTTAATCTAATCGTCATAAACAGTTCCCACACTCCGGACTGCTCGCCTTTACTACTTCCGCCTTTCCTACGTCGCGGACCTGTTTCCCTCCCTTCCCATAGCATTTTAGGATTGTATATACCTTAATCTAATCGTCATAAACAGTTCCCTACCTATAAGTATGAATATTAGATGATCACATAACCACTCAGTACCTAGTGTAGTGTATTAATTTATTACGTTAACTTATTTTTTATTTGTTTGTCACAAAGAAATTTTGCATCCTCTAACTGAAGTATATTACTTAGTTAGGAATATTACTTGGTTAGTTTTTAAAATTGATTTTTTAGTTTTTAGGTTTCCACAAAGCAGTTTAGGGACATTAACATTAGAATTGCAATTTACAACTGGTTTCAAAATTACATCCACCTACTTAAGGGATTAGTATCAACTACATGGTAATAACCTAAAAATCGTTCCATCGATCGTCTTTATTTTTGGAGTTGCTGAGGTTGCTGGAAAACGTTAAACCTAATGGAGTGAATAAAATTTTATCTTTATGACACATATTTCAAGATTCTTGTTCTTTCTCTAATACATTATAATAATTATAATAAACCACGTCAATAATCTATATAAATAAAATTAGAGTTTTGTCTGTACATTGCTCAGAATCATAAACTTTTAGGTAGTTAAACGTTTTATACATTAAAGAAACCGAAACAAGTCTCATCTAAATTTCTGTCTGTCTGTCTGTAACACTCAAGATGGCCTAATTTACAAATTAGTTATCGTTGGTGTTGCACCTTATTTATTACAGGCGTATTCAATTTAATTGATATCTTAACTGTATAAGTTTTGCTTTTTCTGTCTGGATTCCAAAATGTTAGTTTATGATAAGAAAACGATAACGCATTTTAGTAAAACATTTATTCAGCAAACCATCATGAATTGTTGAAACGCTTTGAACGTTGTTTATGTATCAATAGTTCGTGGCCTATTTTGGTAATTTTTATTATAAATTACCAATCTAAATCGTCTATAGTACTTCATTTCATAAAGCAAGCCGATTCATATAGAATTTCGGGTCATCTTCGGTCCAAGCAAATATAAATTGTTATGATAACATTTTATGACATTAACAAAGATTTCAAATAATAGTTTTATATGTACTTTGTTATGCCTAAAGCGTAGCAAATTCCCTAATTAAGTTCTGTATTTTTGTGTGTATGTCTGTTGGTAACGCAACGTTGTCCTTATTTCTCAGTGTTTCACGGAAAGGACAAGAGCACCTTGATAATGAAAATGTCAACTCGAATAAAGGGTTAAATTGTGAGGTTGAGGCAGTACCTTAAATACTTTTAACATTGCCTTATAGATCTATAAAGCGTTTTTTAGTTCAATCGTTGGATTTAACATATAGACCAACAAGATCCGGGTGACATTTAATTGCGAAGCATTAGTTTTGGCTTGAAACTGTCAGATACTGTATTTGCGAAGGTTTTTATATAATAGTTTTGGCAGCATATCTGAAAGTATGCAAACCAACTGCTTAATATAATAAGGTTTTAACTGACTACGATAAGATCCACGTGTGTAGAACGGGCACACAGCTAGTACTTGAAATAAATATATAATCACATGATGTAATCAAAACCATACAATCACAACAGACTATATTCGTTCAGTAATATATCTCGATAAAAAAAATATTTGACCGTGAATAAAAATAACTAATAAAAATTTTTCAGTACGCCATGACAGACGAGTTCTACAACGAACGCTCGATGGCTTACAGAGTCTGGTACTTGTATCCGTCGTTCTTCAACTTCCGCATGCGTATGTACATCGGGATGCGTCTGTCTGAGTGTGTCTTTACGATGAGCGGGTTGGGAGCCTATCCTGCATTTACACAGCCTAAACCTGGTCAGGGGCCTTCTACTGAGTTTTTCGCCCTATCCAGAATGTAAGTTTGTTAAAAGTCTACTTTAAGGTATTGTGGAAAGCATGTGATGTGTAAAACAGTTTTTACCATAGTTGCTTTAGGCTACATGTGCTTTGCAATAGATGTATCCTTAAACCTATTTTAAGATTTAAATAGTTATTCCCCCATTGTTGAAAAAAACAAGGCTCAAGAAAATGCTCTATATCTAGATCTCCAGATTGAACTTAATTAAATTTTTTTGACAGAAAAAATATCTCACTTGTAAAAGTTTATATAATACAGTAGTTGCTTAATTTGTGTTACGCATTGAGAGCAAAAGATAACAGTGTGTTTGTGAAGAAACTATTTATTAAATCAAACTCAACATTTTAGGAACAGTATTTTATCTAGTAATTTCAATAACTAAGCTCAAAACAAAAGGTAAACAATAATAATAAATAAAATAAACAGTTCATCTGATCTTTTAAACATTAAACATATGGTTAATTAATAACACCACATCTCTCTTTGTCACACATCTTCTTTTAATCATATCGTTTTAGTCTTCTTAGGAGTCTCTGACTTCTTCGAGAAGTGTCGTGGGTTATCTGATCAGGTACACGAGGGATTGTATTAGGCTGTTCAATATTCACTCTTTCTTCTAATGGCAATAGTGTTAGATGCCATCGATTTCTTCTAAGCCGTCTTCCACTATTTAGTGTTACCCAATATGATCGGGGATAAATGTCTGATTTTGATACGATTCGTTACATTTCAGGTCTCTAATCCAGACCTTATCCCCTTCTTCCAGAGGTTTTAGTTCACTTGCTCGTCTCCTGCTGTCAAAATTCCTCTTCATTCTCTCTTTTATGCGTTTGTCGTTTTGTCGAAAACCAGCCAAATCATTAGTATTGACTTTTTCAAAATCTTTCAATGACGGAAGATTTGACCTCAATTTTCTCCCATAAAGCAACTCTGCTGGAGACAGTCCCGATTCTAGCTTTGTTGTCCGGTAAACTAATAGCCCTAGATTTGGATCTTTATTTTTCAACAAAATTCTTTTGGCTATTGACACTGCGTTCTCAGCACCTCCATTTGCCTGAGGAAAGTACGGACTAGTGGTCGTTGCTTCAAACCCGTACTCTTTTGCAAAATCCTTGAACTCTTGTGATGTGAATTGAGTTCCACCATCAGTCCGAATCTTATATGGAATTCCATGTCTTGCAAAAATGTTCCTTAACTTTCCTATAACCAAATTGGAGGACAGAACACTGAGTTCAACTAACTCAATAAATCTTGAATAATAGTCTTGAACCACCAAATACCACTTCCTATTACACATAAATAGATCTGCGGAAAGATAAATCCAAGGACCTTTTGGAAGTTCTGTGGGCATCAAAGGCTCTTTGTTCACTTGACGGTGTTCAAGACACACAAGACAGTTTTCTACTTCAGACTTCACATCTCTCGAACAGCCCGGCCACCAGACGGATTCTTTTGCTCTGAACGACATTTCACAACACCTAAATGGCCTTCGTGAATTTTATTTAAAATTTCCTTCCGTAAACTTCTTGGTATAAACATTCTTCTTCCTTTTACGATCAAGCCATCTTCCAAAACAAGTTCATCTTTATATTTCCAAAATATCGAGTTCTTACGCCATTTATTCTCCAAAATTGACGATAAGATTTCACGGCTCTCGGGATCATTACCTTCAGCTTGTTTAATTTCTTCTAGTCGTTTATCTGAACAAGGAAAAGTTTCTACAATGCTTCTGATGAATAGTGCATCGTCTACAGTCAGTTCATAGATTCTGTCTTTGCCAAAGTCTTCTTTGAGGTTTCCAGGGCTTCGAGATAAACAATCTGCCGTGAAGTTTTCTTTCCCAGGTAGATAAATTGCCTTATAATCAAAGACTAAAAGCCTCATTCTAAATCTTTGAAGCCTAGACGAAAGCTCTGAAATAGGCTTTGACCCTAGAATTTCTACTAACGGTTTGTGGTCTGTGTACACTTGGAATTGCTTTCCCAACACATACATTGAAAACTTTTCACATGCCCAAGTCACACCTAATGCTTCCTTTTCTATTTGTGCATAGCGAGTTTCAACATCAGTCAAACCTCTGGATGCATATGCTACTGGTCTCCACACCTCACCGTGCAGCTGCTCCATTACCGCCCCAATGCCATATGAAGATGCATCTGCCGTAATTCTAATCTCAGCATTACTTTTGTAAGGAGCCAACACTGGGGATTTTGTCACTGCATCGTTTAACAATTTGAACGCCTTGTCCTGGGATTCCCCCCATACCCACAAACTTTGTTTCTTCAATAGACAGCGTAAAGGCGCTGTCAGTTCTACTAGGTTTGGTACAAATTTCATTAGCTGGTTCACCATACCCAAAAACTGTCTCAGCTCTGAAACACAAGTGGGTTCCTTTGTAGATGAAATGGCCTTAATCTTTTCTGGATCTGGGCTTATACCATCTTGAGTTATCAAATGCCCAAGGAATGTTACATTTGTGAGACCAAATAAACACTTGTTTTTATTAAGAGTCACTCCATTTTCAGACAATCTTTCAATCACAAGCTTTACTCTAGTGCCGTGTTCCTCTTCTGTATTCCCTACAACCAATATGTCGTCAGCCTGATTAATCACTCCTGGAATGTCTGCTAGTATCTGACTTATCCTCTTTTGGAATACCTCTGGGCCAGAACAAATTCCAAATGGTAGCCTTTTGAAATAATACCTTCCAAATGGAGTAATGAAAGTTGTTAACTTGTATGAACTTTCATCAAGAGGTATTTGCCAAAATCCATTAGCTGCGTCCAGTTTACTGAAATATTTGCCACCTTCAATCTTAGCCAAGGATTCTTCAACTGATGGTAGTTGTAAATGTTCTCTTTGCACATAAGTATTCAATTTTGTATAATCTACACATAGCCTTATTCTACCTCCTACACGAGGCACCACTACAATGGGTGAACACCATTCTGTTGGTTCTGATATGGCTTCAATAACACCTTCTTTTATCATTTTATCTAGCTCTTCTCGTACTGGTTGGTATAGAGATACAGCCACTCTTCTGGGGGACATTACTGCATAAGGCTGAGCATTATCTTGTAGTTTAATCTTGTAACTACTGTTTAGACTGCCCATCCCATTGAACACCTCTGGGCATAACTGTTCAACATCATCCTTATCAATCAAATTGACATTAAAGGTTATCAGACCTAAACTAAGTAATGCGTTTCGGCTAAGCAACGGAGAATTTTGTTTACCTAGCACGTACAAATCTTCTGGCAATACTCGGTCATTGTATTTGAGAAGAACCTTAGCTACACCCGAATGTTGAGTCTATTTTTGCCCGGTCCATACAATACACGATCGCAACATTGCAATTGGAGACCGAGGGATCGAGCTTGATGTTCTCCTATGACTGATACATCGGCCCCTGTATCCATTTTAAACAGAACTTTACATTCATTGATTTCTATTTCAACTACAGGACATTCTTTGCCATATTTCTTAACTTGAATTTCGCCTAGATAAGAATTTGAAGTTACATTTTCCTTTTTGTCCTCAACTTCCCGTATTGTTTTCTGTCCTTTTATACAACACCTAGCAAAATGTCCATTGACACCACATCTAAGACACTCAACTTTATATGCCGGGCACTCCCTATACTTATGAAATAGGTTACATTCACTACATCTAAACTTGTTTCTGAAAGAGTCTACTTTATTGCTAACGACTCCTACTTCCTCTTGGCTAATTGTGTTTGATATGTCGCTAGCTCTATCTCTTACTACATTTTGCTGTTTCAAAACAGACTCGGATTGCCGAACTTTGGTAATAGCCTTGCTTAAAGTTAGTGAATCGTCCATTTGTAGAGTCTCTGAAAGTTTGGAATCATTGACTCCAATTACAATCAAATCACGTATCAACTCTTCCTTCAAATTTCCGAATTCACACGTTTCAGCTAATTTATGAAGGTCATTTATAAAAGAATCCACTGTTTCATCGGCCCCTTGTCTTCTCTTAAGAAACTTGGCACGTTCATACACAATGTTACATTTGACTTTTAAGAAATCATTAAAGCTTTTAACTACTTCTTCATACTGAAGATTATTTTCTTTCGAAATACCAAAGGTACGGAAAAGATCCTCACCCTTGTCGCCTAGAGTGTACAAGAGCATACTTATTTGTTGACTGTCAGGCTTAAAGCAGAGCTCTGAAGCAATCCTGTACCTCTCAAACCTTTTCATCCAACGAGGCCACAAGGCGGGATTTTGAAAATCAAAAGCTTCAGGTGTAGAAATTTGAGTTTGCATACCTGACACTGAAGTAACTCTCGAAGCTTCAGTTGAGGTTTTATCTCTGTAACCGCTCTTCGAACAAACCTGATTCCTAGGCCTAGACTCATCTTCACTTGATTCAAGATCAAATTCGTTTTGTAAGTAATCCCTTTTCTTCGAATTTCCTTTAGATGTTCTTTTATTTCTGCTTCCCATATTTATTTCTACCTGACACCATGTGAAGAAACTATTTATTAAATCAAACTCAACATTTTAGGAACAGTATTTTATCTAGTAATTTCAATAACTAAGCTCAAAACAAAAGGTAAACAATAATAATATATAAACAGTTCATCTGATCTTTTAAACATTAAACATATGGTTAATTAATAACACCACAGTGTTCCTTTTAGTTTAGGGTACAAAATAGTTACTCATTGATTCAAGAAACAAAAATCAAATAAATGTGTTCCATATCCTAAAATTGTTTACATTTATGCCTGTGATCAATCTTGTCTTTCCTACACCAAAGTGGGGATGAGCATCGATGATAGGTCAAGGCCATCGATATACCGATAACATCGTCTGGTAAACATCGATGTCCCAGCACAAATCAAAAACCAATAATGGCAATAATTGATCTTTTTTATTTCATTCTGAGTTTTTCATCTGCTTTCTGTCTCAGCTAACTAACCTAGCAACTAGCTAGACGTTCTAGATTGGCAGTTTATCTTTCACATGTGTAAGACGAAATATTCGTCTTAATTAATTGATTGTGCTGGAAACTGGAACATGAGTGCTACCCTCGATACTTAATACAAATGAATTTATTTTTGCCGCATTTAGAACAAGCACCTCAAGAATGTACGTGATAGTTATCTCACTCTCGCTCCACCTTCGATAGTCCAGTTCACCATATTTTGATCTGATATTTCATCAGCTTTTTGCTAGAGTAAATACAAAAACTCAATTTCAGTTAAGGAAAATACATAACTGATTTGATGTTTCAAAAACATCGGCTATTGATGCTCATCTGTAATGTTACAAGACTACTATACCTAGTGTACTATAACTAGCGCAAACCCTAGTTTTAAATGTTGAATAAACTTTCTTTTTTCTCAGGATGGGCGCAGGATTGAACAGTTCTCAAGCAAAGACGGAGAAGTACAGCTTTGCTGCTATTTATAACATTGACTCGTGGGGATCAGACTTCCAGCCAACCATCAGATCTTCCATGAAGTGCTGGAACATGACCATTCAGTATTGGCTGGCCACTTACGTCTACAAGAGATTCCCCGTGAAGGCTTACAGGTTAGTTTTGGTTTAGAGTAGATTTGTACAAAGTGAAAATCACTGAAAGGTGAATGTTTAATGGATAAGATGACAGCTTTGTTACTGACTAAAGACACGGTACACGAGATCAGTAGGCAGGCAGGTTGCTTCAGTTAACTTGAAATACACTGAGGCAGGTAACCTACCTGCCTACTACTAGCCTACACAAGTAAATACAACTTGACATCAGGTGGTTCTTTAGCACAGGACTGCTTTAAACAAATGAGCCCAGGGGCGCAAGGTTTCAGTTTCCTTCGTGGGGGGGGGGGGGGCAAGGAAGAGGAAAATTCGACCACTAGGTACAATGTAAGAGGGGCGCAATATTCTCCCGGGCCATGGCGCATTACATGCATATCGCGGCCTACTTTAGCGAGGTCTTTATAGCTAAATGATCAAGGACAGCTGGGTCCGGTATCAAACCATGAAAAAACTACTGACTTCGTTCATCCTATGTTTTATATTCATTCCAGTTTGCTAAGCACAATTTATAAACTTTGCTTACCGGTACTTTTAAAGTTAAGCTTTTACATGTTTTTAAAAATAAAATGTGATTTCATCTATTCAGCAGTTTAGTTGGTGTTGGTCCAATACAGTGTCCTCGCCAAGTACATACCAGTTACTGTAACAAGATCATGAGAAAAGTCAGTAGAAAAGCCACTGGTGGTTTGAATCGATCATAGATTAAAGGTTGTTCCACCCGCTGGCTGTTTACGCGTAAACATGGTCCTACAAAAAAGAACCTCCATTAACACGTTCACTGCGAGGGGCGGGAATTACTCGCCATTGGCGAGCGCCTGTTTAAAGGTTTTCAGCAGCGAATGTGTTAATGTTTATCGAGTTGAAATAAACTGTAAAATATTCAAAAAGATCCAAAATATGCACTGGCTGAACTGAATCTTTACCTAATTGTTTGTTTAAGTATTTACAAAATCATTTTGAAAATCCGCAAATTAGTCTCTTTTACATCAATTTTAACTTCTAAACAATAGTTAAAAATTATTTTTGCTCCACCCACTGTAAGCTCTGATATGTTAAGAGCACAATAAGCACACAATCATTGGCATATTCAGGAACATTAGCATGTTAAGCCGCTATCTTGAATTAACCGGGTAGAACCCTCTTTGCACTGAATTTTATGATGACACCTATTTGAATGACATGGAACACAAGGCAGGTAGCATGGCATTATAACATCATAATGAAGAGTTAGTAGATTCTGGTATACTGATTATTTTGTTATGTTGGCAGGATGCCTGTGACATTCGTAGTTTCCAGCTTGTGGCATGGAGTGTACGCTGGTTACTATCTCTGTCTATGCTCCGTCCCGTTCTACTTGCCTGCGGAGGACATGTTTTACAGGGCATTCAAGAACAACTCCCTCCCCCCATTGGTAAGAGTTTGACATATTTCAACCAGTGATAGTAAAAGGCATAAAAATGCCCATAATTCAAATCCATTCATTACTGACAAGGAATTGAAGGTTGGATTTTCAAAACTATCCATTTTAATCTATATACTTAACATAAGGGGTTTCTCTGTTACATCCCTTTTCCATTTGTCCTACTTAACCGATTGTTACAATTTATGTGTTGTTTTAAAGCTTATGATCTAGTGGAATAACGAATGGTAACTATAGAAAGGTCACTTCCTTCAGGTCCCTAGCGTTTTACAAATTTTTTGTGTTCGCTTTCAAAGATGGATGGTTTTGGATGGTATTGTATTATTCTTTTTGCCTCGGAAACGAGTTTCAAACAATCTAAAAATATGCAACTTACAAACAAGTCCCCTTTGGTGATATTTCAATGTTCTTTTCAAAGATTTCAAACTTGTTCTTTGAGGGAATTTTTATTCACCAATATTTTTATTCAGGAACTAAAATATTTCTTTTTTTTTTCAATATCTTATAGTTTTTTTTTCTGTTTTGTTAGGATATAGCAGGCTAACCTTAATGAGGAAGAGTCCATTCCGATTGGACACTCAAAATTAAAAATATACTTTTTATTTTAAAAATGGGTTAAAAATGGGCATTTTTTTATTGTGCCAGATTGGACTCTTTCCCATTCAGGTTCTAACCTGCTGTTCTAATATAACCCTTAGAACCTACGCCTCATCCTTATGTTTGTTTGCATGTTTCAGCTCCATTACCCATGGGTGTTCTTGCGCTATTGGTGGAAGATGCTCCACTTCTCCTATTGGTCGATGGCTTTCTCCTTGCTCCGCATCGACATCTGTCTCCGTTACTGGAGTTCTATCTATTTCCTACCCAACGTCTTGACTTTAGTGATGTACGCTATTGGACTGACAGTTCTTAAACCTTCCAGAGCGCCTGTGACTTCAAAGTAATCAGTGTTTGTTTCAAAAGGTTTATGTAGTTAAGTCGAGGTAAGTTTTAAGTTTCATACTAGACATGATCACTGATCAGGGAGTGAAAATGTATCTACATTCTAATCCAGCTATATGGTCAAGTAGTTTTGTAGCTTTTATTTACTGTGCAAGTCAAAAGGTATTTTTAATGTTTATCTCTAGATTCAGTCTCAGGTTTTCTCTGTGATCGTCTCATTTTCTCAGTTGAGATTCCTTTCATTCTTTCCATATAGTATCCTCTATTTTTGTTTAGTTTAAACACCTCCCTTTTCAAAGTAATATTTTAACTTTTAATTAATATATTTCCTTGTTTAACTTATTTCAAACCTCTTTAGATAAAGGAATCTCCAATGCAGAAAGAGATCTATATCTATATGCCTTAAAAACTATTTTTTAAGGTCAGAAATTTATCTGGACCAAAAGTTTTGCTCTCTAATTGGAAGACTTGCTATACCCAAGAGAAACCAATTTTATCACTGGTCTATAAAAAGATTGAATAAATCTTTTATAAAAAAATATTAAATTCCATTGAGCAAATTTAAAGGTAAGAAATAGTTCTGGTTTTGGGGCAATCTGTTTATATTCAATATAAATAGATTAACATACCTAACGTCATCAATCCTAAATATAGTCTATGGTGAGTAGTTTAGAAACATCAGCAGTTTCATTGAAGTTTCCAAACTAGTCGCCAAAGACTAATCTTAGGATTGATGCTGTAAGGTATGTTAACCTATTTATATTGTCAATTAACAATCCTGGAGGCAATGATGAATAAACTGTTTTTCTTACGTAACTTCAAAACTGAGGGAACAAACTGTCATTCAAACAATTCTTTGAATCCCATACACCCATGCCTATGATTTTTTATAAAACACGGGAGAGGAGTTCTTGTTAATTTGTCATTTTAGATGTGCAAATTGCCATGGTAGAAGAGTCATTGTTTCATAGTAAAATGTTAGTAGCATTTATAAGTCATAACCAAAGAAAAAAAACCATAACCTATGATTGCCTAGAGCGTGAAAAGATGAAACGTTTGAAATAACTTAACCCTCCTCCTTTTGCTATGTGTATTTTTAGGGTCAGTTATGGCTGCCATTATTGTTGCGTTATTAACTCCAATTAATGTAGTTAAGTTTACATTAACAAACAACGCTTTATTTGCTGAAAGCTTTTTACAATAAATTTGTATGAACCTGTAGTAATATGAATTTATATTTTCATGTCATGTTTAAGTAATTAGATATACCATAAAACTATACATCATAACTCTTTTATATTCATACACATGTTTGCAGATTTAGTTTTACTGTGTTCTTTTATTATTTTAAACTTTATCAAATGTTATTCTTTTAACAATGTTATTTAGTTTTAAGGTTGTTATTGTGTTTAACTGGAACTATTTGAAACTTTAGTCATAATAATGATTGAACTTAGGATTGTGAAAATATACTTCTCATCTTTTTTTAAAATCTGAAGCCCATTTAGGGAAGTAGCTATTACCGTAGGTGGCGCGTTAAGACCTAGGCCCAGGACCGATTTACTTTTTCGTTTTAATGTCCCCAGAGGGCAAAAACACCATTCGTTCAAATATTTATATATATATTTATATACACATGTGTGTGTCCATGAATTTTTATCCGGTTTTGATGAAATTAGGTTTAAAGGTGTAAGGCGAGATAAACTTTAATGATTTTGGGTTTTACGTTTTGTGGGGTAGAAATTGGTTTTTCTCGTTTTTGACCCTAAAAACACTAAATTTCCCAATCTCTCTCTACACCTTTTTAAAAAGCTTGAAAAAAATTATTTAGTACCTATATCAAGTGTTTTTGTATGTTTATTGGTAACAGAGAAAATTAAAAAAATTGTAAATTTAAAATTCTTATATTATTCTTACGGAGAATTTGATAAAATGTTGTAGTTTGCTTGTTTATGGATATATTTTTAATATTTTATCAAACTTGGCAAATTTATTTATTTTATATTAAGCTATTAATACTTTATTAAAAACACACTCAATTATTTCCTTGTGGCAGCAAACCTAGGTACTCGTTAAACGTAATGCTATTTAAATAGATTTAATTGAAAATCAATTCAGATAAATGGAAATTCGCTTAGTCGGCAGGTTTGCTGCGGCGGGGGTATTTTTAAGTTAGTGAAATAACAATCAATGAATAGTTTGTTATACTCTAGTTAAATATCTGGACAGAAATGTACTTTGAAATAGTCTTCAGTTGTTCTGAAGTGACAAAATGTCTAAGGGAGAATTTCCAACTAATTTTAGCGAACTTCCCTATAGCGAACCCTATTACCTTAGCATTTGGCATGGTAAGACCAAGGCCCTGGACCGATATATATATGTGTCCGTAAACACGATAACTTGAGTAATTTTTGTCCCATTTTGATGAAATTTGGTTTGAAGGTGGAAAGCGGGATCAACTTGAATGAGTTCGCGAACCAGCAATATCGGACCATGGGAACGGGGTTTTACGGAAGATTTTATGGAGTAAAAATCAGTTTTTCAAATTTTTCACCCTCTATACACAAAATTTCCCAATTACTCCTCAGACCTTTTTGAAGAGCTTAAAAAAACAAATAAATAAGTAAATCAAAGTTTTTTTGTACAATAATTGGTTACGGAGAAAATTCAAAAATTGTTTTTTTTTTATTCCCATGTTATTCTTATGGAGAATATTGTAAAATGTTGTAGTTTGCTTGTTTATGGATATATTTTAATCAAACTTGGTAATGTTTTGTACTAAGTTATAATAATTTAATAAAATACACACATTTTTAACCTTCCCTGTAGCAGCAAGCCTATGTACTCATGTTAAAACCTAATGTTAATTAAATACATTTAATTGAAAATCAATTCAGACAACTGGAAATTCGCTTAGTCGGCAGGTTTGCTGCGGCGGGGGTATTTTAATGTAAGCTCCTACCATTCCATAAAATATATATTTTTGTAGGCTAATGATATCTTGGTTTTGTAGATAGAACTATAGGGGTGTGCGAAGCAGCAAAAAATTTTCGATTCGAAGCAACGATTCGATTCAAAAGATTTTCGATTCGATTCGATGCAACTCGATTCGAAGCAATACGGTATTTTTCTATTCATAATTGTCAATTGAGTGGATTAACAATAGTTAAAATGTATCACATTTGTGTAATACAAATTTTTGTTGATGTGGTATTAGGCCTATTTCATACTTTACATATGAATTTTAGGTGAAAAAATATTTATTTTCAATCATATGTATTAGAATAACTGCTGGAAATACCAGTGAGCTGCTTTACTTGCCTATTTCATAATTTTTACTTGAATTGGCTCAACTGCAAGAAAGAAGAAAATATTTTTTTTATCAAGACATTCATTCTCATTTTAATAACTGTTTAAATAACTAAATAGGTGCCGGTAGCTAAATTACAACAAATTTGAATGGAACTTAATATAAAAAGACCATTAAGAAATAAATTTACATATCACAAGTTTAGGGCCTGTGGACCGGCTTCAGGACTGCAAGCAAGAAGAAAATAAAAATAATATGTTTCCACCATGCAATATGTATCATTCATTCCCTGCCTCCTAACCTCCTTAGTATAATAACCTCACACTTACATTATTTGTTACATCATCATAAATAAAGAATTATTATTGGCATCAGTAGGCCTACAGCTTTACATAGGCATTATTTTTATAGGGCCTAAAATAGTAATAGGCTAGAAGCAACATGTCAAGTGGAGAACTCATTGAAGAAAAGATATTGTGTAAACTAATTTCCTATAAAACTCAAAAACAGTAAATAACATACAAACATTGTTTATGGTATAATTAATAAGGACTAAAAAATGCATATCATGTCATACAGTAGTATAGACCTACTGCAAGAGATTAAAATCCTAAAACAACTGATTTTGATAGCTAATGAATGAAAAGAATTAAAAATCCATAAAATAAAGCCAAACAATATCACAACTAATTAGGTACCCGAAAAGTAACTCTTAAATAATATATAGAAGATTAAAATAATATTAAATCAAGAGACAAGAAAGTTAAATGCTATCTTCTAGCCTAGTGCCCTTGGCAACACAGGTCAATGTTTTTAAACTACCCTCAATGTTTTTGGAACAGCAGGGCCTTTTTCTCTTAAGGAAGGGTAGTAGTATGTCAACAAAAACAATGAATCAGTCTCACCAGCCAGGCCCGGGCAACGATGTGTGAATTCAAGGTCATAGACCCTCCCCCTCCCCTCTTACACCACCCGGTTGCTACCCAGTTGCTTCAATTGCTGACAAAATGCAAGTGATGAAACAAGGGAGTAGAGACAAAGAAATATATTTCTTTATTCAAAAACACAAAACTGTTAGAGATTATTTTCAAAGAAATTAATTCAATGTAATTTGTGAGTTGTAAATATTGTATTGGATCTTAGAAATATATTTTTTTAACCCCATCTAACCAAGATACAGATCTGTTCACTATATCAGATATTTCTTTTGTTTATAATTTATTATGTAAAATAATAAAATATATTTTTAATTAGGTATTGAATAAACAATAAATGATTATACTAGTATGTCTGGATAAATAGTCTTTCTATTCTTTTGACTTTGTTTTCTTTGCACTGTTAGTGTTGCGTCACGGCTTTTGTCTTGTTACTCTTATCAGTAGACGACTAGACCTGGCTCTGGCTAGTGGCAGTGCGGCAATTGCTCTGTTGTGTCTTTATTCTTAAAGGTCGTGAGCCAACTTAATTTTTAATTCTCATTTGAACATTTTAATTCCTCTGTAATAATAGATATAATAATATAAGAGTGTTTCTTTGGAAATAAATTATTCTTTTTTTTTTTCTTTTGCTCCAACAAAAATTCGGGGACGGGGACCGGCAGACACCTAACAAAAATACCAAATGAATCAGTCTATAACATTAATTTTACTAGTTAAGTATTAAGTAACAATTTTTCAGACTTATTTTTAAAATGATTTTGGAGTAACCTACCTTGTTTTGGCTAGGTTCACAGTAGTAAAATATTTCACACACTGCTTACATCAAGACAAAAAACAAACCTCTAATCATTTGCAATGTCAAAACAAAAAAATATAAAACAATTAAAGCTATATTTAATGCAAAGAATGTATTAAATAAGAACGCCTTCGTAAAGGAAACGCAACAGCAACGCGCTCCTGTATTGCGGGTATTGCATTGACTTTCTGCAGGCGTTTTTCGTATATGGATACTGACTCCCTCGTGAATCGAATCGTTTTTTGAACCACCACTGAATCGAATCGCGATTCGATGCATCGAATCGAATCGAATCGAAATTTCGATGCATTTTCGATGCATCGCACACCCCTATAGAACTATTTGTTGTTTGATGTGTTTTAAATGTATTTTTACATTGTTTCATATGAAAAATTTAATATGAACATTAAATCATTCATAATTTAGTCATAGTATTTTGTAGTAAATGGTTTTTGAAGAGGAATAAGTAAACTTACATAGTTATTTTTTTCTAACTTGCTGAAATAATAACTTAATTAAACAATAATCTCTTACAACAATTATTATGTCTTTATAGTCAAGCTGTTTGTATTTATTATTGTGTTTTTTGTACTTCACCGTTTTTTACCAAAAGTTAGTAGATTTGATTTGGTAAACCATGTGTCATAATACAAAATGGACAGTATATGTTACACTTAATTTTTAAATGTCGGTTTACGATGGTTGTAATTAAGTCAAGTAAGAGAAATCCTAAAACAGGCTCCCGTAAAAGGTTATTTTTTATAATCTTGCTTAGCAATTTTTACACAGAAATAACAAAAGCAAAACAACTCAAATCATAATCAATGTGAAATATTTTATATCAGCTCTATATTGAGGTAACTATAATCTTCAGTAGGCCTACTGTTACTTTAATCAATAATAATGAATACAAGTTGTAATAAGTATTTTTTATGAAATCAATAAAAACCAAAAAGACAAATAATATTAGCCATACAGTACAACAATTATATAAAATATAATTGTGTTGAATCTTATATTTTCCTGTTAAAAAATAATAAAAAAACTAGTTTTCTATCAGCAAAAGGGCATTATTTATAGGCCTAGCCTCAGTGTAATCCTATCCTATACTCTAATATGAGCTAAGTCTGTGTCTGTCTGTCTGCAATATCATAGAAAAAAGAATTAAATATAGACCGTCAGCTGTGTACTGTAGTGCTTTAGTTACTAAGGTTCTGGCGCACACCGCTGGGAGTGCCATGTAGTTACGGCCTATGCGCTACATAACTACACGGTACTTCCAGCGGTTTGCGCCAGAACCTACATGGTAACCACTACATGGCTGTTAATCTATAATTTAATTCTTTTTGTCTATGGTAATATACATCTGTGGCGAATTTCAGCTACATTTAGGTGATTTGGTCGTGTGAATGATTACCATAACCGAACCGTTGGTGTTGGAAACGACAACTGGGCTTGTTTATTTAACCCTAGGAGACAATTTACCGCATATCACAGGCCCAAAGAGCCAGCTTTGATGATTATTAATATTAATTGTAACACATAAATACTATTATCCATTGGATGTATGCAAGAATTACTGATCAGACGACCGGACACAATGTGAATTGAACATTGAGCAAAATATTAATATTAGAAAAATGACATGTGAAATAACATGAACAATTTTGACTACAGGACCTGAAAACAATCATGGGAATTTAGAATAATTACATATCTATCTAACACCATACCTGACATGGGGGCCTTACCTAGCCTCCTAGCACACGCATATCACACAAAATACACTACACTCTAACTTAGGCCTGAAAGATAATTCAAAACAGCTAACAGTAATTTTATTAATAATATAACCGTATTGTCACCTCTTTATATGAGTTGTGTATACAATGTAACGTTTAACTTCAAATTTAAAGGAACAGATCGGCCCTTTATTTATTTTATATTTAGGATTGTACTCAAAACACGATTACCTGAGTAGATTCCACGAATCTATGCAGTTATTTATTGTACTGTCATATGTTACACATTAAATTAATAAGTACAAGAATAAACTCTGCTTTTGCCGCTCTACTTCACCGCTAACCATTACGCGCCTGCCACCCGTCGCCCGCTAATAAACCGCCCGCCACCTGCCGCGGACGGGCGCCCCTAGGCAGGTGCCTATTGTGCCTTATGGTAAGTCCGCCACTGTGTTTGTGAAAATTTAGTGTATAGGATCAATTATCTTCTAACAAACAGGTCTAGTTGTGTTAGATATTATAACTTTGGATTCAGATTTTACAAACTCATTAGCAGGAAAATTGCTCAAATAAACTAATCATACAAAATAATAATTGGCTACTGACCTACCATACAAGTGATGTAGTATGTAGTATATATCCTATCTCTGCTAACTTTATAAAAATGTATTCTTAGTAAGGAAAGTAAAACATAAAAACTTTACAACAATCAAATTTATTTAAATTTATCTTTTTTTGTGACCTTTAAACTTCTCTTTCTTCATTCTAGTTTTTACCCTCTGATGTTTATTTTTATGTGATTTCTTAATCTGTTTCTTCTTCTCTAACCGCTGTTTGGTTTGGAAAGCTTTACTCTTCTGCACTTGTTTTGTAGCTTTGTGTTTTATTGCTTTTCTCACATCTTTTTCTGATTTCAGCTCCATTCCAAGCAACTCACTGCTTTCTTTTTCCTTTTCATCATCTTCTTTTTCTGATTCATCTTCTTTGTCTGTTTCATATTGGACCTGAACATGATTTCATATAAGTAAAATATAAGTAAAAAAGAGATACTTATAGAACACAGGGCCTAGGCTTTAAGGATAAATGTTGGCATAGCAGGCTAACACAGTTAATGTTAAATTCCTATTATTTCTTAAACGCTTACATAGTTTGTCTGATTGAGCATAACAATAATAAACGCTTTAAAGAGTATTTTTTAAAGTTCTATGGATAAATTCAGAAAAAAACTGGTATTTGAAACGTGGTAAGTGGCTCTTTTTATTTTGTAAGACAAAAAAAGGGTACAAGTTTAAGAGATGGAGGTTTAAGAATTAAAATGAACATTTAAAATCGGCCAGGAAAAAAATCATTTATCATTTTCGGTTAAATGTTTTTTTTTACATTACCTACTTGTCATTGTTCCAAATCATCTGAGGCTACTACAATCAATTTAGTAAACAATGCTGAGAAGAAGGAAGCTTCAATTCAACAGAATTTAAAATAGCCTAACTAAAAAAAAAAAACAATATATAAATACAATTTGGCATAGAAAAATAAACTATAAAACTTACTCTGTTTGACCCTATCCAGTTGTTTTTGCTCTCCAAATCCACAGGATTCAACTCCACTACACTCACTGTATGATCTGGTAAATCATATTCTTCTTCATGCAAATGCTCGAGCTCAGGAATCGGGCGATTGGTCAGCACCAGCTTCTTAATTTCTTCTCGAGCCTGTCGGTCACAAAGTAACATAATTAAAATATTTAAACATTTCTAATTTGTAAAACAATTCTTTTTGTGACCAGCTTAAAACACCAACCCACAATATTTGTCCGGGGTAAACATAGAACGCGTTGTCACTGAATTTGGTATTTAAAATTTTTGCAAAACTTACCACACTACTTTGTTAAATTGGGGACATACTTGTCCATCCCCGTCAACGTCAAGGTCAACCGACGACAACCTCAAACCGATGACCGATGATATGTGATGCAAAATGCGTTTTCACACCAAATCCCGCCATTCTATTTTAGTTATTGAAAAAATCTTGCTCACTTAAAGGTTAACATTTGTGATTACTGTAATTCTGCCTGACCCTGAAGGCAAGTGAGCGCAGCGAACGAGCTCCAAACTAAAGGTGAGTGAGCGTAGCGAACGAACTTCAACCAGGACGTGATTGAGCCGAATAGAAAGACCAAGAATATTGTCTGCCCACTAGCATTAATATAAGAGCAATAATAAAGAATCGGTTATCCTTTGTACTATATGTGTTTCATTAGTTGTCGTACGTATTTTAATTTAGTTATAAGCACTTCATATACAATAAGACAATTAAACGTTACGGTACTTAAATTATAAATAGTCAAAGGCAAGACAACGTCTGCCGGGTTCAGCTAGTATATCATAAAAAAAAGCATTACCAAAATCTATCAATTCCAAAATCCACCATTGCTCTATACCAAAATTTACCAATTCTCCATACTAATACCTGAAAAATCAATCTTCAATACTTATACCATTTTTTTTAATTTTACCAAATTGTATTGAACCGCGCCACCCGTACCCGCGCCCCACGTACCCGCACCCAGGCCAACGACTTGGAAGCGTGATTCCATGCGCAGGCCCGAGGAGCGGCTCACAAAAAGGGCGATCCTTCAAACCTAAACAGCTATAGGCCTATTTCTGTAATTCCTGTGTTTAGTAAAGTAATAGAAACTATCATCAAGAATCAACTAGTAAATTTTTTTGAATCAAACAACCTTTTTTCCGATCTTCAACATGGATTCAGGCGTAATAGATCTACTGTGACTGCGATGGCCGAACTTGTAACCAGAGTGCAGGATGCTTTTGAATCTTCGGACACGTTGGCATTGACACTTTGCGACCTGAGCAAAGCATTCGATTGCATCTCCCACAAAATCCTAATTGACAAACTCGAACGTTATGGTGTGGGTGGTGTCGCCCTACACACATTCAAATCCTATCTTGGTAATAGAAGGCAAGTGGTCTCTTTGAGTGGTGCAAAATCCCAGGCCATGACTGTAGCCCATGGAGTTCCCCAAGGCTCGATTATGGGGCCTGTACTGTTCCTTGTCGCCATAAATGACCTCGAATTAAATGGTATGGCCC